TGTACCAGGTATTTCCCCACAGTATAACAACAATTAGACCTGGCCACCCATAAATATCTTTCAGCATTTGTAGAAGAAAAAAGCTCAAAAGTAAAAGTGCAACATTTCATTTTTGTGAGTCTAATCACAGCTACAACAGTGAAGCTAAGGAGTACAAACTTTACTGCTTATTTAAGTGTTGAACATAGTAATAGTAACATGTAACAATAGTAACATGTAACAATAGTTACATGTAGCTATTGTTACATGTTACTTTTGACAGTTTTATGTAATAATTGTGACCATATTGGAGATAAAACATTTACCTTATAAAAAGAGATTGCAAAGGCTGAAACTTACATTTGCCCACCAATATTGATGAAGTCACTTTTTATTTCCCCTCTTACTTTTTTTTCATTTCCCCTCAACTTTTCATTCAATAGCAAAATACTTCGCAAACACAATTATCAACTTTTACCCAACAGCAATTGTTGACTCAATCAAGAATACTACCTGAACAAAAAATATGCCTGATAAGTTTCAAAGAAATTATGGTACAAACATTACATTAATAGTCATGATCAACAAGTTAACGCCTACTGATATTAGTCAGAAAATATGATGAAACTAAAGAAATCAAGAAATCAATACTATCAGAGATCTAACAGAAAGCTAAATTAATGATTTTCTTGAACCAGTCATCTTGCGCCCCTTTCACACTCAACAGCCATCCATTTCTGACATGCTTCATTTTGTTCGTGAGTCTCGGCCTTTTTTTTTTTTGGTCTGTATGCCTTCAGCTCCTGCTCCAACAAGCGATTATTCACTATTTTACGGCTTACATTAATACCCTGAATTGCTAATTCTATAGATATCTTTTTGCAAGAACTTTTTCTATCACTAAGAACCTTTACTTTGATATCTCTCTCAAGTCTGGGGGTAGTGATTCTTTTACGACAACATTTTTCAACTCTTCCAGCTTCAACGTTTCTACCCTCATCCAACATCCTCTTCACTGCACTAACTGTTTGTGTTGAAATCTTCAATTTCAAAGCTATCAAAGCTTTTTATTTTTTCAGAACTGAAACTTTTAAATTTTGTAGACTCCAAGTACATACCAAGTACATAATACACAACAGATAGTAAAAGAAAGTGACGTGAACTCAAACAAACATATTTCAGAATTTACGGGTAAGTTTTAGCCTAGCTCTTAAACAACCCTAAAATTAAAAAAACCAGATATAAATGGATTTTATTTGACAAAAAAATAGTTCCATTACTAAATATATATATGTCATTAAAACAAAAGTATATAATTGACCACTGAAAGTTTTTTGGCTGCCTCAATTAATGAAATTTAGTTACAATTTTTTCATTACAATTTTTTATATATATATATATTAGGGTTAGGGTCAAATACATTTGATCAATTATAATTACGTTAATTCTAGATTCCTAAATACAAATATATTCAATAGACACTTTCCAATACAAATGCAAATGTTTGTATTATAGATTAGGAAAAAATACAAATATTTTTTCAAGACAATACTGATAAAATAATATATTAAAAAGAGGAATGAAATTGAAAAATGAAAAATATTTTTTAACAAATATTACTTAAAAACAAATTTTGAAATTATTTTAGTATTAAAATACGAAAAAGAGTATTTATTACAACAAAAAACCTCTTGCTTTTTTCCAAAATAATACCAGTCAACCTAATTTAAGGAACTACGTAGTATGTAATATAAAAAGTCAAAAAAACTTTTTTTACCTGATGTACAAAGGACCAAGCATTTCTTTCGCACAGTGCATGCAGCAGTGACACCTACTAATGTTTTTCCGGCTCCTAAAATATTATAAATAATTACATAAAAATTAGCACCTGTTAAAAACAGATAATTAGCATAAAATATAAAAAGTCAAAATATATTTAAATGCATGCCACATGGTAGAACAATGACACCAGAACGCGCTCTTCCATTGCCAAACATTTTACGCAGACTTTTTTCCTAAAAAAATAAAGTAATAGTATTAAAAACAAACTAATTAAATTCATTTATTATTGATATGGTTATAATTTACCTGATATGGTCTCAATAGTGTAGAAGGTTTCAAATCCATACTGAAAATAAAAGTATACTAAAATTGTTTCATAATTAAAAGCGCCAGTGAAAAGCTCCGCATTTGATTGATTTTCAGGTTTAAATAGAGTTTATAAAAGAGTTTATAAAAGTTTATAAAAGGTCTATAAGTTGTTGCAAAAACAATTTATGTTTAAACACTCTACATGTAATTGAACAAAAAAGTTTAAAAACATTTATGAGTTTTTTTCTTTATGAACTGAATAAATTTACTTTATTTTTGCACAAATGTCTTCAACTATTCTATAACTTTAATTAAATGATAATTTAATTTATACCAAAATCAAATTGCTAAAAAAATCTTAAAACTGAATTTTACCAAAAACTAATAAAATATCAAAGATGACAAATTAAAGATGAGAAAAGTAAAGATATGAAAATTAGAGATGCAACCATGCAAGAAAAACATGCAAAAAACAAAAACAAAACAACAACAACAACAAAAAAACATGTATAGAAAATGCAACACTAGTTAGTATTAAAATGCTAATGGCATCGAAACTTGATTGAATTTAAGTTTATATGATTTTTTTTTTTAACTTGAAAAAAAAATAAAACTTACAATAAAAAATTAAATATAACATGCTTATATATAATATAACAAGATATAAAAATACTTAAATACTTAAGAGAAGATGAAAATTAAAAAAAGAACCAAAATAGCAACCAACATACTTTATATCTTTGTTAATGGTATCATTAGTAAAATCATATTCAGCAAGCAAAGGGTAATCTAATGCAATGCATCTAAACAGATAATAAAAATCTACTATTTAACAAAATAAACAGGATGATTGTTACTTGGATAGCATAGAAAATTTAAAATTCAAAATTTTTATTTAGAATTTTTCTTGCACTAGAAAAAGTAATGCTAAACATATACACAATATGTCAATTATTTTTAGACAAAAAAAAAATTAAAAAAAAAAAAAATTTAGACAACAATATTAACATTTTAAGATATTCAATAACAATTTTAAACAATTAAATTTGATATCAGATATTATGTAAAATATATAATAATTTAACTTATGTAAAGTACAAACTTTGCAATGTTACAACATATATCAAGTTTTACAATTTTCTTAAAAACACAGTAGGGAAAAAATTATATCAGTTTTAGAGTACTAGAGGTCTCTAGATAGATAGTGGCTCTGCTCACCTCTGGCCCACTGTGCAGCATTTTAATGTTTTTAGAAATGCTAAGCTTTTTTAAAAATTCTTTCTCCTTTATTTGCTTTAGTATATAAATTATATAATATCTTTACATATGTGTAAGGTGCATTGTTTGATAAATATTTCAACGCTATTTAATAAACAAAAGACTTTATGAAATAGAAGATAAATGCTATAAATCAAAGTTTATCAGATTTTGCCACAATGCAATTTCCAAGAAAATGTGTAAATTGAAAATTGCATTGCGAACTGCTCAAAACCAACATCTAAATTGGAGTAATTTCTTTTTATAAATGAGATATAATTTTTTCCCTACTGTGATTTTTAAACTCAGTATGTTAATTTTATCACTAAAATGCCAATATTTTACCTTTCAAATATTGGTGAAAATAAAAAAATCAGATAAAAATGAAATATGAGGCCAGCAAGACAATTTTACAAAATTTTAATTTCTTAACAGTATATATTAGTTCATCGACATCATACATTGAAATAAGAAAAAGAAACATGAAAATTTATTTTTTATGCTTGTTTTTATTCAAAGCGTTTTTCAATATAAACCCTTAAAACGCACAACCTTTTCTTAACACTTACCTTTACACAAGCAGAAAAATATTAGGCCGCACATGTGATCAACTTGAAACTTCACTCAGATTGAAAACTAAATTTTCTGAGCTCAGCTAAACTCAGTAGGTGCTAGGCTTTTTATTATAAATGATATCCAATTGTAGATTTTGCTTTAAAAAACTGAAGAAGACGCATAAAGAACAGTTTTGGATTTTTAATCATTTAAAATCTTGTTAAAATCTTTTATAATCTTTTAATGTTACAACTTTTAATACTGGTGATGGTGACCATGGTGATGGTGAGCACTTTTAATGTTAATGTTAAATTATTCTAAATTTTAATTGAAGTAGAAAAGCATTTAGAAAATTAGAGTGGATATTCAAATAATTCTTAAAACTTATTACAGAATTTAAACAACTTTATTAAAACATACGGTATAAAAGTTTAGCATATTAATAAAAAGGCTCAATAAAAACTTTTGAATTTAAAATTAACGCGCGTTTTTACGGATTATTAGTGACGGTTTTTATAGTGATAAACTTTTTATAAAGTACGTTTTCATAAAGTTGTTCAAGTGTATTTGTAAAAGTTCCTGAAGTTTTTAATAATATTTGAATATCCACTTTATTTTTTCTAGATGCTTATCTACTTTGATTAAAGTTTGGAATTACTAATGTTGTTTGAATAAAGAATGAACTTTAAAAGTTATAAGTGCTTTATAAAAGTAATAACACTATTATAGTTTTATTACTTTTATGATGCAATTAGTGACTAAAGTGTTATTACTTTTGTAGTTGTAAATTTATTATTTTGTTTTGTTTTTTATAGCTTTTTTGCTAACAAATGTATGTATGTATATATATATATATATATATATATATATATATATATATATATATATATATATATATATATATATATATATATCTCAAATCCGGCCTTGTATGGAATACTGTTGCCATACCTGGAGCAGATCTTCTAATGATGCACTTTCTCTTTTAGACAAGGTGCAAAAACACATTGTAAACATAGTTGGACCTGCTCTTGCAGCCAACCTTCAACCTCTGTCACATCGTCATAATGTTGCTTCTCTTTCTCTTTTCTACAAATACTATAATGGGCACTGCTCGAAAGAGCTAGCGTCTTTTGTGCCATCTACTAAAAGTCATTCTTGTGTTACTCGTCATTCAATTAAGTCTCATCCATTTTCTGTTATTGTTCCTAAGTGCTCCAAAAACTCTTATTCGTCTAGTTTTTTTCCTCAAACATCAGTCCTTTGGAATTTGCTTCCTTCATCTTGCTTTCCTGATTCATATAATTTGCAATCTTTTAAGTTGTCTGTCAATCGTTATCTTGCTCTACAATCTTCATCTTTTCTCTTCCAGTAACTTCCAACACTAATTAGTGGTTGCTACCAGCCTTGTTGGAAGCAAAGATGTATATATATATATATATATATATATATATATATATATATATATATATATATATATATATATATATATATATATATATATATATATATATATATATATATATATTGAATATAATGCATATGTAAAACCACATCTTCAATGCATTATTCATTTTTATGAATATATCTTTTTATAAATTTATAACCTTTTTTGTAAAACTTCAATGTGCTCCTGAGCAACTTCAAATGAAACAGTATTGACAGGTTCTTCTGCCTCATCATCTTCATCCATCATAACTTTTCCAAGATAGTCAGCAATATCTGAAGGTATTGATTCTTTTTCTTCCTAAAAAGGTTTTCAAACATGTCATAAAATCAAAAAGTATTTTTTTTACAAATATAAAATGTTTATAATTTTATTGTGGCTAATTATAAGAACAACAAACAAAAATAACAACAACAACGTTAGAAAAAACGAAGGTATTTTAAATAATACCTCTTGCTTTTCTTGTTCATTAGGTACATTTGTGTCTTTATTTATTTGAGAATGATTTAACTGAAAAAATATTGATTTTAAATCATGAAATAATAATTATCATTAAATAAAATATTTTTGCATTTAAAATTAAATAAATATTTTTGCATTAAAGTAAAATTTTTATTAATTTAATTGATTCCTAACAAGGTGGCAACCATTACATAAGTTTGGAGTTACTGTAAAACAAAGAATACTGAGAAAGATAACTGTTGACAGAAAATTTTTAAAACTGTAAAAATTTTGATTCTAAAAAACATGGCGATGGGAGAGATTTCCAAAGCATTAATAGGAGAGGAAGGAAACCAGATGAAGAAAGGTTTTTAGAGGATGAAGGACAAAACTTTGTAGTGAATCACAAGCCAAGCAAGAATGAATTTTGGGTGATGGAAAAAGATTATTATTTGAGCAGCAACCATGATAGTATTTGTGGAAAATGCAATGTTGGGATGGTAGCTCAAGCATAGCAGAAAAAGCAGGTCTAACTACATGTACAATGTACAAATGTACATCACTACATATATAATATTGTTTATGTTTTTGGACTATGTCAAGAAGAGAAAGAGCAATTTTAGAAGAAAAATTTAATGCGGTAGTGGTAAAACACTCGCTTCATAAGCGAGAGGTTCCGAGTTTGATCCCCACCACGTCCCTGGTAGTACCGCGCTCAACTTGTTTCTCCGCGCAGCGGCCTTGTTTGTCAAGGTTCGTGTTTCGGAGTTATAGAGTTGAGAGAGGGTTATAACCACTATTAAGTAGCCTCTTCGCCTGTAGTGGCCTTCTCGGCCTTGAGGAGATGAATAGAAAAAAAATAAAAAAATAAAAAATAAAAAATATGAAAACAGTATCAACAAATCTCAAATAAGAGATTTGCTGAGGTAGAGAATAGAATTAGGAATAAGAAAATGATGACCACAATAAATAGAAGTAACCTTAGCAGATGCTAAATTGGAAATGGATTATGTTATATATATATATATATATATATATATATATATATATATATATATATATATATATATATATATATATATATATATATATATATATATATATTTATGTTTTTATGAGAGGTCTGTAGTAAATGATAATACTAGAAAACATAAAGTAGAGGACTCATTAAGAGGTATTTTAAATTATTGCAGCTATATGAGTAATGAATAACCAAAAACAAGTAAATATAACAAACTTTTATGTATGAGTGACAAGTAAAATGCAATCATAAAGTTTTCAATATACTACCTGTTACTTCAATATACTACCTGTTAAAGTACTAATTATACATTAATTTTTAAAATTTAAAAAAACAACCTAAATAGCTATAAAAGATAAAAATAATATTTAATTTAAAGAATTGTTAGGGAGCAATACAATTTTATAAAAATAATTATTTAGCCCTTGGAATTAGGAAAATTAAGGTCTGCAATAATCTGCTGACCTTCATCTGTGTGAGGTCGGCATCAGGTCGGCAGAAAAAAGGTAAAACAAAGGTTTGACCATAAAACATAGAAACAAGGTCGGCGATTTTTTTACCAACTTCAAACACTTCTAGGTCAGCATTACCGACCCTAATTCTGAGGGTTGATGTATATATATATATAAATACACTTTTTTATTATATTGATAAAAAATTAATTTATAAATACTGTCATGCAGAGGGCAAGCAATAAAAAACTAAAAAACTGAGAAGCAGGATTTGACTTCAAATTTATCATGAAAAGCACTCATGCCAGTTATCATACTTAACATACATTATCATGCAAGTTTACATACAATAGGGTGGAGCGATTTTAAAAATTTTCTAAATTCCATCTGCCTGAGCTGTGAATCAATGTCTTTTGGTGAAAAAAGAACCTTACTTTTTTATGTAGACGAGTTCTTAAGGTTCCTCTTTGGTTCTAGATGAGTTTTGGTTTGGTTCTAGATTTGAGTTTTCTAGATGAGTTTGTTTCTAGTTGAGTTTGATTTTATGATTTAGATGAGTTCTCCTCTTTGATTCTAAATTTTTGACGGGTCCTAATAGTGTTGAAATTTTTTTCTTCTAAACTATATCAACTTGGTACTCAAAAGAAGCAGATTAATATCCTTATTTTGAAAATAATATTTGTTTTTATTTAAAAATAAAAAATTGAGTTGTTTTTTTTTATAAAAAAAACCCCTTTGTCTTCAACAAAGCGGGGGTTTTGGATATAATTTTGCAAACATTTTTTTCACAAAAAAATTTTTTAAATTAAAATTATTATTTATAAGGGAGATTCCATGTGAAAACATCCAGGGCATGCAACCCTAAGTCTCAGATTTTGCTGATTTTTAAACCACTTAAAGATTTTAGTAAATTATGAACATCCTGAAAATTTTATCGTCTAATTTCAATCGGTTCCTAAGATATAGCTATTTTAAGTTTGCCTCCAACCAACAAAAATCTGCCATTTTTAAAAATGGTTTTGGTCCTAGTTTCTGTTATATGTGTGTTGGAAAGCTGAAAATTTGTACCTTTACATATTTTGGGCCAATGAATCCATTGAAACAACTTAAAATATTTAAAAACAAGCATAACACCTAAAATTTGAACGTTTACCACAATTTTACTGGGGCGAGTCCGATCACAAAAATGCTGAACGAATATTCAGCATAAGTCATTCTGTTTTTTAAGTGATGACAATGATCATGATACATGCTTTGTGTATGAATTTCAAAAGAAAATTGTAGAGTACATTAAGGAATATTTAGTTGGTATCAATAAAATTTATTATTTTTCTGATGGATGTTCTGCTCATTATAAAAACTATAAAAACTTTATAAATCTATGCCACCATAAGGAAGATTTTGAGATTACAGCTGAATGGGTATTTTTTGCAACCAGCCATGGAAAATCCACTTGTGATGGCATAGGTGGTATCGTTAAAAGAATAACAGCAAGAGCAAGTTTGCAAAGGGCATTGGAAAACCAAATATTAACAGTTGATGATATGCTTGAATTTTGCATCACCAATATAAACACAATCATATTTTATAAAATTTCCAAAGAAACAGTTAATGCAAGGAGACAGCAACTAAAGGAGCGATTTGAAACAGGAAAAACTGTTCCAGGTACCAGAAGTTATCATCATTACATACCTATTTCAAAATTTGAAATTAGTTTTAAAAGAACAAGCGAACACCAATGTGTTGACAGATTTATACTGTCAAAAGCAGTAATGTCTGATGTTGTTATTGTACCAAATCTAAATGATTTTGTTGCATGCAAGTACGATTCCTTTTGGTGGATAGGCATGGTTACAGAGATAGATATTATTCTAAATGATATTCAAATTAAGTTTATGCACCCTCACGGCCCTTCTCAAAACTTTATTTGGCCACAGAGAGATGATATCTGTTGGGTACCATTGTCGAGTTTGATTGCAGTAATCAAAGTCCCAACAACAAAATCAGGGCGAACATATAACATTGATGTGAATGATTTTAACACAATAACTGATAAATTTTAATTTTTTTGAGTGTTTAATTTTTAAATTTTGTATATTACTTTTGTTTCTTGAACTTCTTTCCGAGTGCTCTATTTGTTTTGGAGTCTTTGTTTTTTAAGTTTATTAAATGAAGTTTGATAAATATGAAACTAATGTTTTATAAGTAATAAATTTAAGTATATTTAAAGATGTTTTTATTTCTGATTTAAGACCGCAATCTGATTCTTTGTAATAACTCCAACTAAACTATTTAATACAACTTCTGAAAAAAAAACTAAATTTGCAATATACATCTGCATTTATATAATTCTCCCCCTTGAAACTAAACGTTTTAAAGATCAGATTCTAAAAAATTACAAAGAAAACAGAAACAGCTAGTCAACAACAACTAAAAGAACAGTTTGATGTAGCCTAAACTGTTTCAGTTGCAAAACTGTCAAATTACCACATTTTTTTTCTTGTTTAATTTGTCATAATACCTGTTTTTTAAACAGTAAATTTAAGTAGATTTGACCATATTTTTATTTCTGTTTTAGAAAAGACCACTCTCCAATTCTTAGTAGTAACTATAGCTTAACTATTCAGGACAACTTCTAAAAAAAAAAAAAAAAAAAAAATCGAGCTACATCGGCATTTTTGTGATCGGACTCGCCCCAGTAAAATTGTGGTAAACGTTCAAATTTTAGGTGTTATGCTTGTTTTTAAATATTTTAAGTTGTTTCATTGGATTCGTTGGCCCAAAATATGTAAAGGTACAAATTTTCAGCTTTCCAACACACATATAACAGAAACTAGGACCAAAACCATTTTTAAAAATGGCGGATTTTCGTTGGTTGGAGGCAAACTTAAAATAGCTATATCTTAGGAACCGATTGAAATTAGACGATAAAATTTTCAGGATGTTCATAATTTACTAAAATCTTTAAGTGGTTTAAAAATCAGCAAAATCTGAGTCTTATGGTTGCATTTTCAAAAAAAATTGGATGTTTTCACATGGAATCTCCCATAAAACAAGCATTTTTTTCCTGCTTTTTTTGAGTCCAAGGTTGAAATGATTTAGATTTAAAAATTTCAAAAATATTAGGACCCATCAAGAATTTAGAATCCAAAGAGGAACCTTAAGATCTCATCAAAACCAAAAAAAATTTTTTTACTTTCATCTTATAATTAATAGACATCAATTCCTGTCTCAGGAATATTCAAATTTAAATTTTTTTTTGCTGCTATAAAAATCGCTCCACCTTAATATACAATAACCATTATCATGTCAATTAACACACCTAACAACCCTAGTCCTTAGATAATCTTAGATTATATATAAACCTAATATGTGAACTGAATATGAACAGAAATTTAATTAAAAGAAATCTCACAAAAGGCAGCATGGATCCACAAAAACAATAATTCCTTCAAAAATATCCTTGCATACAGAAGATTTATGAAAATATATGTAACATTTGATACTTATTAAAACATTTATGGGGATCCCAAACAGCTGAGATATGTTGTGTTCATTATAATAGAGAATGAAAAAAAGAAACGCCTGGGCTAAATTTTTAGACTAAAACAAAAAAGTTAGTTTTTCTTGGTATGCATTAATTCTTTCGTTTTATTCAAAAAATTTTTAGCCAAAACATTTTTTCTTATCATTAGCTTTAATATAAACACAACATGTCTTGGTGGTTTGGTATCCCTCTAAGACATATGAATGAAAAAAAATGTTTTCAGCATTAATGAATTGCTAATATTAGTAAGTTACTAATATTAATTGATAGAAGCCTTTTTCAATATCATTTTAATATTAAATATATTATATGGTATTATATTATATGATATTATATTATACCTTTAAAAATAAATAATAATAAAATAAATTTATAAATATATTATATGATATTATATTATACCTTTTGTCATTTACAAACCTTTTATTCAAAAGATTATTTCTTTCATTCTCAAATCTCATTTCATTGTTCAAATCTCAAAAACTTTGTGAAAGTAAATGGAAACAAAAATAAGTGGAAACAAATCTCTAAATTTTTTCCATTTTCATTTGATAGTCTTTACAATCTAATATTTTAATGTTGTTGGTAATATACATTAACACACTACATTGCTATATTGAGCTACATTACTTTGTATAAAAAGTTAAACTTATACAAAGCAATAGCACTATGTAGCACATAGTACTATTGCTTTATGCACTAAGTCATGCTATTCATGACTCATAAAAGTGCATAAATCAAAAATTTCTTTTTTGCTTTATTAATAACATAATTATTGATTATCATTTTTCAGGCCTTTATACTAAAAAAAAATACCTTAAGTGCATTATGAGTGCCAATCTTTGACGAAATTAGTTCTCCATTTGATCCGTCATCTTTAGATAAAGCTCTAATTGAAAAAATAAAGTAAAATTATTACTTTGTTTTAGTGGGGCAAGGAGACGGTGGAGGTGAAAAGCAGGGGTGGAAGAGGGATATAATTTTTGAAATTAAGGTAAATTAGGGTAATATGAGCACCTTAAGTGAAAATTAGAATATTTTGAAAAATAATTATACTGGATCCAAATTTTTTCCATAATAATTATACTGGATCCAAATCTAAGTGGATCATGTGGATCCCTCCACATGATCCACTTAGATATTTGGGCATTCAAAAATTTTTCTTAAAAATATAGAGGTTTTAAAAAAGTTGCAAAAATGCTCATATTACCCAGATCATAGAAAAAATACCAGCTTGACAATCAGAACTAATATTTGGAATATAATGATTCGTTATTAACAAAACATATTAAAAAAATCAAATTTTAAGCCACTTTTTGTTGAAACATGCTAATATGTTTTCTCCAAAAAAAACAACCTTTTGAACAATAAAACTTTTGAATGATAAAAATTTTTTGAACTTAAATTACAGAAGAATATTTAGCATTGTTAAAACATTAAAAAATTTTTCTGTTTTGTTTTTATTCAAAAAGCAATTAAACCACTGCTATTTTAGGACTTTAAACTAGGTAATTTCAATGGAAAACACTGGTTAATTTGAGCATGCTTATGTTACACGAAAATATCATTCTTAAACAAAGTTAAAACTAAATGTTTTTATGCATTGTTTTTCAAACAAAAATGGATTGGATATTTTGCTAAAATAATAAATTCATTATTTTATCACCAAAATTTTAATTAGATGATAGCCGCTAATTACCACATATAAATTTATGCTAATTGTACTGATTCCTGTTATCACAACTTAAAATCAATTCAAAAAATACAAAGCAATTTTAACTTCACTGCTTCCATCTTAGAAACCTTTAGGTATGCTCATATTACCAAGGTGCTCATATAACCCAAATCTACCCTAATACCATACCATATTCCTAAATATATAAAATAATAATACTTTTAAATATTAAAGTGATTGTTAGTAAATATTTATTTTGAATGTAATTAGGGATGAGTCACTTTATATACTTTAATAGAGGATGATTTACTTTCTTTCTTTTTTTTTCCATTTGGATTACCAAACATTACCAATCAGCAAAATATTAAGAAAAAATGCTTGAAAAAAATGCAACAAAAACAACTTTACTATGAAGCTAAAATATTGAAAAACAGATTAATGGTAGAATGTAGGGTTTGCAATCCCGGGATCCCAAAATCCTGGCTTTTTTTATAATCCCAAAATCCCGGGATTGTCTACTATCAATCTTGGGATTCCCTATACGATTGAGCAAAACAAAGGGGAAATCAAAAAATATATATAAATAACAACAATTTATGCCCATCAATATAATAATTTTTTATTTAGTATAGTATTGCAGAAAGTAATTCTATTTTCAGATATTCTGTTCTGTAATTCTGCAAAATAAACTTTTTTAAAATGAAAAAAAAACGTGCATTTCTTACAAGGTTTACTCTTAAAATTAACTTAAATAAGCATGGCGTATGTAGATTTTACAACTAAAAGTAACTCAGCTGTTTGGAAATATTTTCTACGAGAAGAGAAAGGGCAAACAGTGATGTCTAAACTGCCAAACTGCAAGAAGATTTTAAAAACTTGTGGTGATTCAACAAAAGGACTTCATATACACATGTTGTCGGTGCATAATGTGAAGGTCAAGATCTAACCCAACCTAATATTACCGGAGAAAGCGCATCAGATAAACCACCAAAAAAGAAATCTAAACCACTAACAGAATACTTTTCGATTTTTGAGAAGGAAGATAAAACACTTCACGCTACACTTGCTCGTCTAACGGCGTCTGACAGACTTACATTTAATGTGATTTGTTCTTCAATAGATTTACATGCCGCTCTAACTGCTATGAGATTCAGAAATCTACCAACGTCAGTAAACACAACTCTTAATTATGTAGTAGAGTACAGTTTGGGTTTAGTGCAAATAACAGGGTCAATGCCAGCAAAAAAGTGCATTGAACTATTAGAAAAATAACCTAAAAACCATTGTCTTGATCTACACAGCGACATTGTGGCTATAAAGTTGGAAGGTTGCTGGCTGCAAATCAAAAATAATGTTTTGCCCACGGCATACAACTTTCTGTAATTGATGTTCTTTATAAAAAAAAGAGAATTAGATGCAAATCAGCCAGAATTTGAAAATGAATTTTTTGACAGTGATTCATCTGAGAATGAGGATAATTGAGGAAGATTTACTGGGGTACAATCATGAAACTTTAAGATCTAAAATTGAAATAAAGTTTGTTATGGAACAGTCATTAAAAAAGTACGCAAGTTGATAATAATATTTAAACGATCACCTACCAAGAACGACACCTTACAAAAATATATTAAGGCTGAATTTGAAACACAACTGTCTTTAATACTGGATTGCAAAACAAGGTGGAGCAGCCTTCTGTTAATGCTTAAACGATTTTATAAAGTAAAAAATTGTTTACAAAAATCATTAATTGATATTTACACAGTGCAAGATAATTCTATAGCTCTGTCGCATGATGATTTGATAATATTATCAGACATTATTACAACTTTAGTTCCTATTAAAGAAACGGTTGAAGCACTTTGGCGCCAAGATTCTAACCTATTTACAGCTGACATTGGTATTAATTTTATGCTTACAAAATTAAAAGATGCTGACAATAACACAAACAAGGAAATGCGTACAGCTTTATTGGCTTGCATACATGAACGCCGAACTGATGAGTGGACTTCTGCAATACCTGCATAATGGTCGAAACTCTGATGAAGTTGATGAAGAAATAATTACAGTGCCTTCTTCTTTTAAATGTCGAAAACTGTTGGTAGAATTGCTGGAAAGATTAAATGTTTCCAATCCTGCTTTAGTAAGAGCATCAGTTGAGTCTGATATACTGGATTTTATTGAAGAACCTGAAACTGAAAATAACACTTTAAGTATTGAAGAGGAACTTGATAGTGTAATTAAAGAAGCACAATCACCGATGCAACCAGTTAGACATAAAACACTGTTATCAAAAATTCAAAAAGAAATGATATTATTTGAAAATGGTGGTACACGTGGTGATTATTTAGAAAGAGTTTACTTATTTCTAATGACAGTGAAACCAACAAGTGTCGAGGCTGAACGGGCATTTTCTTCCGCTGGACTGTTTAATAACAAAACTCGTAACAGGTTGGGCGATGAAATATTGGACGTGTTGTGATTCCTAAAGTCACATTTCAAAGTACATGAAACATTATATATTTCCTTATTTCTTATGAAATTTCTTAACATTAATTAACATGTTTTTCTTCTATGCATGTAATGATGTAATGCAAACAGCATCATTTATAAAATATATTTTTGTTTAAGAGTGTACTGTTTTTATTCTGCTTAATACTATATAGATGCTATATCTGTTTTTCAATCCCATGATCCTGGGATTGATGTTTCTCAATCCTGGAATACCGGGATTACAAACTCTAGTAGAATAATATTGAAGCTGCTTGAGTTGGTTACATCAATTCCAATAACGTGTAGGGCATTTTTATGAGTATGTTGGATCTCTCTTTTTGCAGCAGCACTGCATGAAGTAAGAATAGGAGCACTATATATCAAGTGGCTAATAGCGTAAGATCGGTAGACCTGTAAAAGGTTTGACTGAATATGTCCAAGATGTTTAAGACGTTTGAGTAGATATGGCACTGATTTTATATTGTTGTGAACCTTTTTCCACTGTTCATCCCAATCAATATTCTCATTGAGCATGATTCCAAGGTATTTGTGGCTGCTGACTATTTCAAGTTCAGTATTATTGAGTACAGGGGATGGTAAAGCTTGAATTTCGGAGCACCTAGAAATAATTGTTATGATTTTACATTTAGGGCCATTAAGTTTCATTCCGTTTACCATAGACCAAAGAGCGACGCTATCAACAATGGATTGAGGTAGGTTTGGAGGAACTTTACCATTAATTATATAGGTCAGTATGTCATCAGCACACACACACACACACATATATATATATATATATATATATATATATATATATATATATATATATATATATATATATATATATATATATATATATATATATATATATATATATATATATATATATATATATATATATATATATATATGACTAATTACAATATTATATATTAATATATGCATACAACCCTCGAAATTAGGGTCAGCAATGTTGACTCTAATTTCGAGGGTTGTATATATATATAAATATATAATATATAAGAGTTGACATGAATTTCAATAATTTCTAATATTTTCTAATTATTTATTTCAAAAAGTATAAGGAAAAGTTTATTTATATTGTTTTTACATTAAAATTTAAGTTGTAAACTAAAAAATTACCTGCACATTTGAATTTCTGGATCTTTTAGCAACTGTTGTAATGCGTCCTATATAGATAATGTATAATATTAACTACTTTGATAAATTAAAATATTAATTACATTTACAATATAATTATACAAGACCTAAAATGAAGTTGAATCAGTAAATATATAATATTTATGGTAAATATCATTTTTGCTGCTTTTTAATCATAAACAAAGGTATATCAATTATTTGACTTTTTAGTTTATCTTCTAAAACCATATATAAAATCATAAACATGGTATCTCTAAAGATTGGATTCATTAGATAACAACATCAATACAACTCGAACATTACAGAAATTGCCATTTGCTTCAAAAACATTTATTAACATTTCTTTTTCAGCAAACTTCATTCTTTATTATTACTGTTTTTCCCCTCATAATTTAGTTTAAATTATTTATTTTTAATTTTCACAATTTATTTTTAGTTTCATTAAATATTAAACAATTTACATTAATATTAAGTGTTTTTTGGTTTTGAATTTCTATTCTGAATAATTTAAACTTAATTTAAGAAAGTTTATTAAATTAAAAAAATCAAACTCATTAACTTTAGAAAAATTTATTTTTGAACTTTTATCTAAATTTTTTTGATTTTTTCTAATTATAATTAGTTCTTTACATTGTCTTACAATTTAAATGATATATGTAAATGACATGTAAATGACTTACTGGAAAGTTGCTTTCCACATAATAACGGTTGTGTTTCAAAACTAATTTGACTTTACCATAGCTGATTGTGCACAACTAAATCAGAAAAAATAGTTTATAAATTCAACTAAAAATGAAGTGTAATAGAAAATAACAAGAATATTTTAACAACATTTTTAGAAAACATTAAAAAACTATAAGTTTCATGACTGACCTATCAAAACGTTTTGATAAAATTTTTTCTCGTTTTCCATTAATTAAAGAGTAATGGAAAACTAGATCTGCTGGTCAAAACAAATATACTTTTACTGATTTTTTATTTCATAATGTTATACAGTATAATATGAAAGTACTTGAACATTACGCACAGAGAACAGAAGTTCTGTTAAATTAGCTCAAAGTAGCAGCAAAGCCAATAAAACCTAGGGAAGCTCACATATGTCTATTACTCTACAGCTTCTATTCAACATGATGCAACTCTAAACAAATGAATATGATGTGATTTTAAATTTTGAGATGCAAGATATTTGATAAGCAGCCATACTCTATTGTTGAAGACTTTTATTGAACTTAGCTCCAAGTTATTAAAAAACTTAGTCAAAAATATTTCTTTATGTACCTTACTCAACTGATGTACAAAAAAAAGCTTTAGTAAAGTATCTGTTAGATAAAGCAGATTTTTTTCAGTTTAACAATGGATGGACATGTAACACACTATCAAGTCATATTACAATTAAACTTACAATCTCATCTTACAAGTTACACAATTCCCTTAGTCCTACACAAAGTACTGCAAACTTGCGAAACTTGCATGAAAAGAATTATGCATTATTAACTAAAATGCAATTGAAGGATAAACATGCTGTGTGACATACATACTTTACACTTTGTTTCCAGAAGATCTTCAGACAACAAATAGCAGCAAGTGATACTATTAGTTTCTTCCAAAGAAATATTTTCTCCTTTTTCTGCTCATAGAATTCCTCAAACATTATGTTGAGTATCAACTGATAAAGACATGAATTATGTTTTACTCTGTTAGTTTTAGTTAGCTTTAAACTTACTTTAGCTTTGCCGCAGCACAGGAACATTGCTACTTTTAACTACAACACGGTACATTGCTACTTTTAACTACAACACCCTTATAATCTTACATCATATAATCTTTATTTTAAACTATTTAACCTTAACTTGGTGTCATTTTTAAAAAATATAAAAGTTTTGTTCTTACAATAAAAGAATATAGTAAAATAGTATGTAATAACAAATTAGCTTAAAAATAAAAATTAAAAAAAAGAAATTACCTCTATAAACTGAACAATTCCTTCAGGTATGGTTGTTTTACTCAAACGTGTTAAATACTCTATGATGTCTTTTGTCTAAATTTAAAAAAGTTTAAAATAAAAAGACATAAAAAAAACAACTAATTCTATAAAAGCTTAATATGTTCTTTGACATCATAAGCATAATATGTCCCATGATAGTGTTGTAAGCATGATGTGTTCTATGATAGTGTTGTAAGCATGTTCTATGATTGTGTTGCAAGATGCGTTCTATGATATTGTAGCAAGCATGATATGTTCTATGCTAGTGTTGTTAGCATGATGTTTTAGGATATCATATGTCTTTATGATGTTGTTGTAAGCATGACATGTTTAATATTAATTGATCATAGGAATTAAGCTGATAGTTTTGTCAGGGTCATTGCGTAATAATAATTTTTATAATAAAAGTTGATAAAATAAAGTAATTAAAAATATTAAATAAAAACATAGAATAAATAAAAAGCATATTCAAACAACTTTGTAATTTTTAAAAATCTACTATTTGCTTTAACAAAAGTGTTCTTCATAAAAACCTGTAATCCAACAGAAACAGCTGCGTAAAGTGAATAAGCAGTAAGTCTACATTAAAGATAAGATTCTATGAGATGAAGGTAAGTAACTACAATTTTATTAAAACTACTAAATTTACATATATATATATATATATATATACATATATATATATATATATATATATATATATATATATATATATATATATATATATATATATATATATATATATATATATATATATATATATATATATGTAACTATATTTACTAATATAATAAATAAATAAAACTTATTTATTTGCAAAAACTTATTATTTATTTAACTTAATTGTTAAACCTAAAGACTTTAAAACTTAGAAAATTAAATGGGACTTACTTGTATTCATGAATAAACTTTGGTCGACAAACAGGCTTTAAAATAAAAAAAAACTGCTTAGTACTTTTTCCCAAGGAAAACCAAAAATAAAAATTAAATTTTCAAATAAACTTCAGTAGTGGTGATCATAAAATTAAAATAAAATTAATAAACCTCAGCGATAGTGATCAGAAAATCATGAGCGTGTTTATACACAGCTGAAAATGATTCTAGGAAAATGTGACCATCAGGTGCCTTTAAACAATAATCACATATTAAAATAACAATCAATAAATGTACAAAAAATAAAATATAACATTTTATCATTTTCAAGTATAGTACAATAGCTTACCACCCATAACTTAAATAACTACCTGTAGTGTAATAAATTACCACCCATAATACTGTATTTATCACACATAATATTATGTAATTATAGCTTACCACCCATAATGGTCTTGATTGGTGATCAGCTTTTAAACTCACAATTTTACGATAGTCTTTTGCTCCGTATTCATCCTGACAAACAACAGACTCAGATAGTATTTAGAATTAAAAGTCAAAACATTGACTTTTTATTAACTACTCTTGAAAATTTTTTAAAAGAAAACTTAAGTAATAACTTTGTTTTATTTGTTTTTTTGAGAAATAATTTTGCGCTTCAAACATAATTTTAAAGAGATCAATAAAAAATGTCACAGTGAATCATGTGATCTTATATACAAATAATTTTTTAAATAATAAAATAACATTAAAAATTTTAATCCCATTAAATTCCATTAAATAAAACTAATACCTCTCTCACAATAAAGCTCGTGTTTACAATATCAATTTAAGTTAAAAAAACACTTTGGTAAATATTGTTTATATAATTTTCAAGAACCTGACTTTTCATTGTGTAATGGTAGAATCAGCAATGCAATATCAGTGTCTAAAGACTGATATTGCATTGCTGATTCTACCTAATTTTAGCCCAGAATCTAGAGTCTCGGGACTTTATAAAAACTTTAGAACTCCAAGATTTCAGTGGTTTGGAATCCCTTAATGTGCATATATTTTAATAAATCACAATTTAAACTTGCAGAAATTTTCTTTAATGTAGAATTTAATTCTCAGAAGTTTTCACTCTTTACTATATAACTAAATTTTTTATGAGAAAAAGTTTTTTTTTTCCCATAATAAAATCTTTATAAAAAAATACTAAGACCATTATACTTTATAAGAGATTCTTTAATTATAACTGGTTAATTGTTTGTGGAAAACTCCAAACATGTATATGTTATGCTTTTAAAGCTATCAAAAATCAATTCAACAAAAAATATATATTTTGCAGACTTCCTTTTGCCACTAGATCACTCTAAAAAAAATAATAGTCTAAAACTAATTTATCATTCAAAAAATCTCAGATATCTCAACAAGAGTTTGTCAATGTTCATCTATGGTAATGTTTGGTAATTTAACTCTGAGTCAATCTAGCACATTCAGAGAACATAAATATGCTTATTATTTTAGCAAACATTGGTATGGTAATATTTTGTGTCACAATTTGTCTAAGAATTAAATTCCATATAAGTAAAAGTTTATCTGCAAATGAAAAATGAAAATTTTTTTATTCATTTTAGGGACTATATGGTGGTTGCATAATGAAAATTTCAAACAAAAAATAAAGTAAAGCATAAAATATTAACTATTTTTTTTAAAGAAAAACTTTACTGAAAAAAAAATTGCATTTTTCACTGGAATATATTTAACTTACATTATTAAAATACTACCTGCATAAACAGCTTAGTTGTTACTTTTATAATCTGGATTAATAGCTGTTATTATTCCAGGTTATATAAGTGTAAGATTTAAATATTTATACTGGCAAGTGCAGTATTTAAATATTTATACTGGCAATATACTAAAACTTTAAAGAAATAGAATTAAGCTATATAAAAGTAAGTTACTACTTTAATCAACTTTTCTTTATTCAACTTTAAAAGCATTTACAAATATATAAAATTTAAAGACAATCATTTTTTAACATAAATATTACATTTTATTATACTACATTTTGTTTACTTTTTAGCCAGGAAATAGACGTGCTACTATAAATTTTTTTTCATTTTGAAAAAGTCATTTAAAATTTGATAATTTAAAAAAGTGCAGCAGGAAACCTTGTTTTATCTTTATACCATGTACCCACAACAATTTGAGTCAAATTTATCTATGTGGATCTATCTTATATTCATAAGAGAGATTCATGACAACAACAAGAGCTTGTTTCTTCATTCCGAATTTTAATATATGCGGAAACAAATGCATTGTACATTAGCATTTCTAAATGCACTTAGATATTTATATCTAAGTGGCAAAAAATGGAACCATGAGTAAGAAAATGTAGATCATGATAAAGAAAGGTAACTTTAGCAGGTGCTAACTTTGCAATGGATTATATATGGGTTATCCAATGTCAAATCAGCAAACAAAATAACAAAAAAATGACACCCCATGTTTTGGATTTTGCTAATTTATTATTTGCTATAAAATATATGTTTTTATAATTCAATTTACTTAAATTGAATAATAAAAACATACATTTTGGGGTAGTTTAATGGTGATGTTACCTTGATAAATTTTTTTATGCTTTTTACAACTTAAAATATAGGTATCAAACATTACTTTTAAAAAATTTTTTTTTAAATTTTTTTTTTTTCTAAAAATTTTTTTTTTGTAATTTAAGTGTGTGCATAAAATCTGTTTTAAAAAAAATCCTCCTTGCCACTTGTCGTAATGAGTTTAAAAAAAAACTTATTTAGTCAAAAGTAAGTTAGCAAAAGTTTATGTAAACTCAGCATTTAAATGTTCATAACTTACTAATTTGACACAAAATGACACATACATGGTTTCCATAAGAAGTCAGTAGTGAATAATAATCTGAGAAGTAAAGCAGACGAATCAATAGTTGCCATGCAACAATACATTATCAAAAACATGACAATAATTATTAGCAGCAAACAAGTTTTTGTTTTGGCTTCACCAGCACTGCAAGCCCATGTCAAAGAAAAGAGGTCCCATTCAAAATCAGCAGTTCTAAGCAAATAAAAAATAAAAAAACTTCATGTTGAGACTAGAGTATATAATGGTCAGAAAATAGAGCAAGTTATTGCATAATTAATTAATTATTCAAAAAAAAAAAAAAAAAAAATCCCCCTAATATTTATGATTAAAAATGTCTTTTTAAATTGTGTAGAAAACAAAAAGTTTTGTTGAGTTTAAATTGGACAAGAACATTAATCATATTTTCTTGGAGCCATGTCTAGACAATTTTTGCCTGATGCAAGTTCCATGAGATTATCAAACTTTTTAATTCAAAACAAATAAGAAACATTTTTTCAAAATTTCCAAATAATTCTCAGAGTTGACATTCTCAGCTGTAAAAGATGTATAACCAGCACAACTGTTGACAAACCATAAGTGCTGGACAATTTTTAATAGATGCAATGTATTTGGGAGTCTACTAAAGAGTGAGTCAGGTGGGGGTGCAAACAAAAGACGTGAAAAATTAATTTTTCAAAAAATGCCTCATAACAAATTGCTATGAAAACTTAAATTTGCTTAACTGTTTCTTAAAGTGTTTCGATATCCAGAAAACATTCATATGTTATTTCGAAATGTAATAATTTACAGCACTTAAAATGTTCTTTTTTTTAGGCTAGGATAAATTTTATCCTACGCCTAAAGAAAAAAGAAAAAACATTTAATACGCATTTAATAGAAAATTTAAAAAGAACATTTAATATTCATTTAATAAGATAAATATTATTAGAACAAAAAAATTACAAAAAGATTACTGGAATCTTGTAAAAATGATAGGACTTTTAAAATTTAAAAATAATTAAATATTGTACACACACAATGTAAATATTTGACTTTCTTAAATAATTAAGTTAAAAAACAAAATTTTACCAAATTATCATTGATATCTCCAACCTTTCTATTAGCTGCATTGGGAACAGCTGCTAGTGTAAAATATATATAAATAATTTCAAAAACAAATACAATGGCATTTTAAATATTTGTAAAATAAATTATTATAAAATATTTGGAATTAAAGATTAAAAAAATATAATTATGACCAAAAATTTTAAATAAATGAATTTAGTTAAACAAATAATAAATGTTAAATGACTTGAGAAAAACAAAAACTTTTAAATTTTTTTTTTAACTGAACAACAAATAAACAATAACATCATCAAAATTGTTTTGTCATTATAGCTTGCAATAAAATATAATAAAAATAATAATAATAATAATAGCAATAATAATAATAATAATAATAATAATAATAATAATAATAATATATATATATATATATATATATATATATATATATATATATATATATATATATATATATATATATATATATATATATATATATATATATATATATCACCCACATTTTTTTTTAATATTTTTTAATAAACAGTAATAAAAATTTGTTAGTTTAAATTTGAAATAAAGGACAAAACAATTTTAAAAGTTCAAGTTTTAATTACAAGTCTTTTCTCATACTTGCTTTCTTGCTTTGAACTGTTTCAAAATAATAAATTGTTTTAATAAAAAAGTGATTTTAATATATATAAAAATTTTAAAAATTTGGTCAAATCTAACATTTTTATTAGCAGATTTTCTAAAAAACATTACGAAGCTAGAATAAATTTCAATGTTTTTCTGATGTGCTTGTGATATGATACAAAACATTAGTGTAAAACTAAAAAAAAAAATAGTAAAAAGAATTTTGATAAAAAGTGAGATAAAAGTGAAAAGCCCATGCATGAATCCACATTGTCTCTGGGGCCTAAAGTTCAAGTTGATTATTTGAAAATTATTTAACAATATGATTTATCAACTAATTGTAGCTGTAACAATACTTATTTTTTAAATAAAGCACAAATGCAATATAGTTAAAAAATTTTTTTTTCTTTATCATTAAATATTTAGCATCAAATAAAAATAGTTTAGAGCAGTTATATCCCCTTATTCACGAGGCAATTATTTTCATCAAATTTTCTACAACATTTTCATTGATACTAATACAAATATAAAATAAATTAGAGTTTTGTTTAAAATATTTAAAATTCAGAGTTTTGTAATAAATTGTGTAAAAAACACTAAAAACACTTTTTGCCCATAATAAATATAAATATAATACCCAAATATAATAAACTGCATAAAACAGGATCCTGTAGAATAAATATATTTTTTTAAATATTTTTATTTAGTGCATAACTATATTCAAAATTTTGTTTCTATATTTAGTATCAGTGACTCTGCAAGTATTAAGGCCCACAACTTTTGCCTTTCTTAATCTCTAACACAAATAGTCAACTTTCTAACTCGCTTTTCAGACAATTCGAATCATTTACCTTCTCTACTCAATTTATGTCTTGTTTCTGATCCTAGTCAGTACTTCTGATTATGGTTTGATTTCTCTAAAACTGTTATCTCACTTTTCTTTATCATCAGAATCCCCTTACCATTGTACCTCTTACAACTAACTTAAAGCTGACTTGGACTCTTTGTGTGGTTTTTTTCATGATGGTCCTTGGGTAAAAATCTTTTGTTTTCCTGCTGACAAATGGGCTTTATATGTAACTTCTTAGTCTCAGGGCAGGAAAGGAATCTTTTATACCCTCTTAACGATTCAAACCTCACTTTTCTCCATGCTTTTCCTCTCATTGTGCTGCTGCAATTTATAATCCTAACCATTACTTTTACCAAGCACTAAAGCCTGCTTCTCAGGTCACAAAATCTAGTATTTCATCTCAAAAACTTGGCTCCAGAGACTTTAGGAGAACCTTTAACAGTGTCTATAATAAGAGCAAATTTGTTATTCCTTCTCTCTTACATGGCTCAGATTTTTTTTACCTTGCCTTAAGTCAAAACTGAATTGTTTAAGAAAGAACTTTTCATCAATCTTATCTTTTAATTCCATTAATCACATCTAAAAACTACCTGATACAGCTGAAAAGCAGGTTAATTAATTGCTTGACATATGTATCACTCCAGCTTCTGTATCTTGAGTGATCTCCTGCTTAATCTCTTCAACAGCTTGTGGTCTGGACAACTTACCTGTTAAAGTCTTGCAGAAGTGTTTTACAGAGCTGCTATTTATAATTTCAAAACAATTTAACAAGTGCTTATTTTCCAACCTGCTGGAAAACAGCACTTGTTATCCCTATTTTCAAAAATTCTGGAGAGCAATCAGACTTGTTTAACTACTGTCCCTTTAGTTTTCTTCTTATCATAAACAAGGCTTTTGCGTCTTTAAATAACAAACACTTCATCTTTTATCTTGAATCTAATAACTTACTTTCTGGTCATTATTATGGATATTGATCTTATCGTTCTACTGCTGATTTGTTAACAGCAATAACTGATATGTTTTTATTATCATTAGATAGTGGATAGATAAAGGCTATCACTTTTAACATTTCTAAAGTTTTTGATAAAATTTGGCATGCTGGTCTTCTCCATAAGCTTTCTTCTAACAATGTATTAGGTAACATCTTCAGGATTATTGAATCTTTCCTTACCAATTTTAGTATAAATGTTGTCCTTGATCGACAGCACTCTTCTTCATTTCCTGTAACTTCAGGGATTCCTCAAGACTCCATCCTTGACCCTATATATACTTTTTCATAATTTATATAACCATATAACCAAAGACTCCATCCTTGACCCTATATATACTTTTTCATAATTTATATAACCAATCTCCTAGAAATTTTCACATTTAATGTTCTTCGCATCATTGTTCGCTGATGATACTATCATTTAATTTTGTCTTAATAAAAAGCCAACACTCTCTGATTCCTTGGAGGAGGCATTTGAGTGAGCTTGAAAGAAATCTCATTTCTGCTACAGCATGGGGCTTTCTTCAGTGGCTGGTGAACTTTAAATCAGATAAAATTCATTTTTTTTACCTAATGGTTATCACAACAATTTAGATAATAATGTACTCAATGAGTCTTCTACCCTTCGTCTTATAGGATTAACTCTTAGTTCCGATTTTTCTTGGAAACTATACATCGAATCCATTGCAAAATAGCATCTGCTAAGGTTGCATCTCTTTATTATGCTTGTCACTTTCTCACTCTGGATTCTATTCTTTTACCTATAAGTCTTAAATCCGTCTTTGTATGGAATACTGTTGCCATATCTGGAGCGGATCTTCAAATGATGATCTTTCTTTTTTAAGAAAGTTTCAAAAAAAAAAAAACACTGTAAATATAGTTAGACCTGCTCTTGCAGGCAATCGTTGTCACATCATCATAATGTTGCTTCTCTTTCTCTTTTCTATAAATACTATAATAGCCGTTAATCTAAAGAGTTAGCTTCTCTTGTACCATTGAGTAAAATTTATTACCCTGTTACTTTGACTAAAATTCATTATCCTGTCATTCTCATCTTTCATTCAAGTTTCATTTCATTCAAGGCCATCGCTCTTGACATTTCTAAAGCGTTTGATAAAGTTTGGCATGCTGGTCTTCTCCATAAGCTTTCTTCTTACGGTGTATCTGGAAACATCTTTAAGATTATTGAATCCTTCCTTTCCAATCGTAGTATAAAAGTTGTCCTCGATGGACAGCACTCTTCTTCTTATTCTGTAACCTCAGGGGTTCCTCAAGATTCAATTCTTGGCCCTATACTCTTTTTAATTTACATTAACGATCTTCCAGATATTCTCACATCTAAGGTGGCATTGTTCGCTGATGATACTACCATTTATTCTTGTCACGATTAAGAAGCCAACTCCTTCTGATTTTTCGCAGGAGGCATCTGAGCTTGAAAAGGATCTCACTTCTGCTACAGCATAGGGCTCACAGTGGCTGGTGAACTTTAATTCAGATAAAACTCAATTTTTTTCAGCCAATTGTTATCGCAATAATTTAGACCTTCTTATTTTTATTAACGGTAATGTACTCGATGAGTCTTCTACCCTTCATCTTCTAGGATTAACTCTTACATCTGATCTTTCTTGGAAACCTTATATCAAATCCGTTGCAAAATTAGCATCTGCTAAAGTTGCTTCTCTTTATCGAGCTCGACACTTTCTTACTCTGGATTCTATTCTCTATCTCTATAAATCTCAAATCCGGCCTTGTATGGAATACTGTTGCCATATCTGGGGCGGATCTTCTAATGATGCCCTTTCTCTTTTAGACAAAGTGCAAAAACGCATTGTAAACATAGTTGAACCTGCTCTTGCAGCCAACCTTCAACCTGTCACATCGTCGTAATGTTGCTTCTCTTTCTCTACAAATTTCTACAAATACTATAATGGGCACTGCTCTAAAGAGATAGCGTCTTTTGTGCCATCTACTAAAATTTATTCTTGTGTTACTCGTCATTCAATTAAGTCTCATCCTTTTTCTGTTATTGTTCCTAAGTGCTCCAAAAACTCTTACTCGTCTAGTTTTTTTCCTCGAACATCAGTTCTTTGGAATTCGCTTCCTTCATCTTGCTTTCCTGATTCATATAATTTGCAATCTTTTAAGTCGTCTGTCAATCGTTATCTTGCTCTACAATCTTCATCTTTTCTCTTCCAGTAACTTCCAACACTAATTAGTGGTTGCTTGCAGCCTTGTTAGGAGCAAAGATGTTTAAAGAAAAGAAAAAAAAAAGTCTCATTCTTATACTGTGATTGTTCCTAAGTGCTTCAAAAATTCTTATTAGTCTAGATTTTTTTCCTCGAATATCAGTTCTTTGAAATTCACTTCCTTCATCTTGTTGTCCTGATTCATATAATTTACAATCTTTTAAATTGTCTGTTAATAATTATCTTGATTTATAAATTTCATCTTTTCTCACTTAGTAACTTACAATTCTTATTGTGGTTGCTTGTAGTCTTCTAGAAAAAGAAAATGTTTGAAAAAAATATATATTTACCATTATTTGCATTTAAACTATTAGATTCCTCCTGATCATCTTCTGAAAAATCATTTTCCTAAAAGAAAATTTTCGTATAAAAGTTGTTTTTTTTCTCACTATATTCACCTCCCTAAGACCAAAAAGAGACTAATCTCATTTTTTAAATTGCATATACCTGAGAAAATAGTAAACATGAGAAAATTAAGAAATCTTATATATATATATGTGTGTGTGTGTGTGTGTGTGTGTGTGTGTGTGTGTGTGTGTGTGTGTGTGTGTGTGTGTGTGTGTGTGTGTGTGTGTGTGAGTAACATACACATACACATACACAGTGTTTTTAGCTACAATTACAAACAATACACACACATATACACAGTATGTTTAGCTACAATTACAAACAATACACACACATATACACAGTATATTTAGCTAAAATTATTTAAGTAAAATAAAGGTAATACAGATCACAATAGCAAAAAAAAAAAAAAAAAAAAAGGTCATATAAAAAAAAAAAGGAAAATAAATATTTTTAACCAACAAAAAACTAATAATATTAATATTTTAAAAAATAACTAATATTATCAATCAATTAATGCTTATTGTATATCAAGTATCAAGTATACAAATAATATAATTCAAAAAATAAACAGGGCTTTACAAATAAGGCAAACCAATAATGGCAGTAACAATAATAACAATATAGTTGAGGCAAAAAATATATATTTTTTGAGACTTTAAAAAAAAAAGTGAGATATAAAAAAACTTTTAAAGAACTTTTTTTTGATAATATTAAGGACCATCTCTACATTATAATAGCCATCCTTACATTGGCGATTTATCAAGTGAACAGACTTTACCTTATAAAACACACAGAAACGCATACGTTCTACCTTGAAAAAAACGTAAAGGTAAAAAAATAAAAGTTAAAAGAATACTAACATCCTCATCTTCCTTGCGCTTTTTAGCTGATTTTGATTCTATGAGAAATGTAGGGCTGTCATTATAAAATATATAAAAATAGAAGACATATTTCAAGAAAATATTTTAAAATTTAGAACTTTGATCATGCATTTTATTTTATATTATTATAGATAAATCAAATCGGTTTAAAACCAAGAAAATGTCAACCTTTTTCATCTAATTTCCTTTTCTTGTGCTTCCCCATCACGTATATTTAAAAACTTATTTCAGAAACAACAACTAATAATTTTAGCACGTGCTGAATTTAAAAACACAATAAATGGATTTGCATTTTATCATGTCGATTTCGATTAAAGGGACCGGTTTTATTCAATTACTAACAGTCCGGACCCGTAAAGTACGGGTCTTTGTATTTCTAAACTTACTTCATACTTCAATATTTTTTAGTTAACTTATTTCTTACATTTAAATTTTTAATTTTTTTTTAGCTTCAGTAGCAACATTACACCCAACCACTCCTCTGCCTTTTTTTACCTTTTAAAGTTATTAAATAAAAATTTTTATAATATAACAGGGCCGACACGGATTTCAAAGTTCAGGGGGGGGGGGGGAAGGGGCTCAATCGTCTTTTATAAAAAGTCTTCTATATCTAGAATTTTCTTGAAAAAAAAAAAAATCTTTTTCACTGGGGGCCCCTGCCTACCCCCCCCCCGTGTTGTCGGCCCTGAAAAGTTTAAACACTTGTTGTTGTTTTTTTAAATTGGTTTTTTTAGGTGCCCCAAGAAGTGCTAACGGTCTTGTCACAGAGCACCGCGGAAGTACATTTTACCAGAAAGTTCACGTCTCCTTCCTTACCATGACGCGAAATATGTCCAAAGCTCGTTTCGAACCTGGATCTCCTGCTTATAAAGTAAGCGCTCTAACCATTGCACCACGGGCTACACAAAATACACCGTTAAGTACTTAGAAATATGTAGAATAGTGGATTTACCATGGCCCGTAAAATAACGTTTTTAGTAAGCGTCTTTACCCACGGTCATCACGGACAAATGCGGGAAGACATCGCAAAAGTTGAAGCCATTTTAAAATCAATAAGCTTTTAATAACAATAAGTTGCAAGTTATTAAATCCTATAAATTTTTCTTTTTTTATTGCAGATCATAAGTCAGCCAACACGTTTAGAGCTTCTGGACACCAGAATATTTTGAACTTTATTGAGCAACTTTGTTTTACTAATTAATAAAAAAATTTTATATTATTTATTTTGACACTTAAATCCAATAGTATAAAAAAACAATAGTAGTTTTTAATTTTATTAGTACATTTTATTTCAGAAGCAAAACATTAATATTAAAATAAGGTTGCAATCATTGAAATAATAATGGTATCTGAAAATGGAAAAAAAGTTTTCTTCTAGAATTAAACATTAAAAAAGTTAATTTTTTTAACATTAAAAATTTAAAAATAAGTATGATATAATAATATTTTTCCTTAGTATTTGTATTATACTGCTTCGCAACGCCGATGTATTGAGTCAAAAGTGGGTATTGCGCACCATGCTTGTTGAATAGATATCCATAACTGCTTGGATTAGCAGCAGAAACTGCTTTTTTAACATCTTCCATAAGTTTTTAATGGGGATTAGGTCAGGTGACTGAGCTGGCCACTCCATAACCTCAACCCCATTGACCTGAAACCACTCCTTTGCCTTACGATTAGAATGTTTTAAGTCTTTGTCTTGTTGGAAGATCTATTTTAACGGCATATCTTCAACAGCATAGGGCAGCATGACATTATTGAGGATGTCGACATATGAGTGTTGGTCCATGATACCATTAATCTTGTAAATAGGGCCGACACCATGATATGAGAAGCAGCATGACTTTTGCTCCACCATATTTGATAGACTTAACGGTATATTTTTTCTAAAATTCTGCATTATCTGGACGTCTTTCTGGATTGTCTTGAACCAGTACCTCCATAAAGAGCGAATTTCGATTTATCGGTCCATAATATGTTGCGCCACTTTTTTACCGCCTTCAAAATAAGTAACATAACATCTTTAGCTGAGTTCATTATAAGTATCAAAGAAGAAAAATTGGTTGATTTTTTGCAACAAAAAAGGCTAAAGCCACTTCAAAATCTTTTTCTATGTGGTCAAAGAATGGTTGTGCAAAAGTATAAACGTTGTCAAGTTTGATTTACTTAACATTTTTATTATTATTTACACAAAACAGATTATCCCTTGTATCTTTATACTACTTTATTTGAGGAAAAACATATTTGGTGATGCAACACTTGCAAAAAGACGAAGTCAATTCGAGCAAGATTTTTTGAAAGCTCTATATCTTTAAGTGTAAGTTAGTATCAATAATTTAACAAAGGGTTGCACCTGGATCAATAATACACTCAGATCAGTGGGCTTCCAATGCTAATTTAAATAACTTAGGTTACAATCATTTCACTATAAACCATACAATAAACTTTGTTGATCCTGACACAGGAGCGACAACAAATCATGTTAAGTTGTTTTGGTGTCGGATGAATTGAAGGTTAAAGTATGTTTTTGGATCACAGGTTGATTTAAAGTGGTCTAGGCTAGACAGGCTGTATACAGAGAATATTATGAGTTTTATAATAAGAATGTTTGGGAAAAGTTCTTTCTATTCTTAAAACATTTTAATGATAGGTATCCTCTGTAATGTAAAATAAGTATTATAATATAATATTTACATTGAAAATGTTTCATAATATTTATACTGAACTTTTTATTTATTTATGTACAACACACAATTTACGGTGCAAAAACTAAAAGAAGATAAGCCATAAAAAGATATGTAAAATAGAAGATCTATTTAATCTAATATTTAATGTATAATATTTAATATAGATATATTGATAATTTTAAACTTTTTTGTAAAATGTTAAATTTTTCTTAAAATGCATTTACGCAAACTTTTTGTTTTGTTATTTTCGACGTTACCTTTATGGCGCGCAATAACGTAATATTTTAGGGCCCATTTCTGTTAAATACCAAAATGCAAACACCGAGAATTATCGTTCCGAGAACTTACGGACTTTACCGAGTTTGGGGTGCGCCGTTTACAGATCCGCCGAAAATGGTTTGCTTTTAACATATCTTACAATTCTTCCGTCTTTTTGTGAGGTAGTCTTACGTTTTCCATTTCGTTTTTTAACTTTTGCTTTATAATTTAAGGCACTTGAAATCATCTTTGCTGATCATCCGAGAATATTTTGTATATATGAGTAAAACTTACCCTCTTTATGATGCTTCAAAATAATATTGCGTTCTGTTGGTGTACAATGACGAAATTATAAAGCAAGCGCTCTAACCATTGCGCCATGGCCGCACAAATATATATATATATATATATATATATATATATATATATATATATATATATATATATATATATATATATATATATATATATATATATATATATATATATATATATATATATTATATATATATATATATATATATATATATATATATATATATATATATATATATATATATATATATATACATATATATATATATATATATATATATATATATATATATATATATATATACATATATATGTATATATATATATATATATATATATATATATATATATATAAATATATATATACATATATATATATATATATATATATATATATATATATATATATATATATATATATATATATATATATATATATATTTGTGCGGCCATGGCGCAATGGTTAGAGCGCTTGCTTTATAAGCAGCAGATCCAGGTTCGAAACAAGCTCTGGACATATTTTCGCGTCACGGTAAGGAAGGAGGCGTGAACTTCCTGGTTATATGCACTTCCGCGGTGCTCTGTGACAAGACCGTTAGGTCTTCTTGGGACACCTAAATAAGAAAAAAATAAATAAGTTTCAAAAGTTTATATAGAAAGAATACTAAAGGAAATTAAAAAGAAGGCAACAGGTGCTGACAAATTATCTGGAGAATTTTTGAAAGACTGTTTACACATTGACATCTATGATTCGCATAATAAACATTTCTTTTCAAACCTCAACAACTGAGTGGAAAGTTGCTAAAATTGCGCCTCTTCACAAATCAGGCTTATTAACAAAAACTGACTACTATCGCCCATTATCTGTATTACCTGTATTATCAAAAATTCTAGAAAAAGTTGTACATGATTTCTGAACCTTTGGCGTAAACTTTTCACTGAGCTTACCGCAACCTTATTTATGGATAACATATGTAAAGAAGTAGAACAAGAAATGCTTGTTGGAGTTGTATTTTTTGACTTATACAAAGCATTTGATACCCTGAGCTATAGCCTTCTGCTAAGTAAACAACCAGCTTATGGTATAAATAACAAAGAATTTGTTTAGATGTTTGACTATTTTTTTAATTGTACGCAAATCGTTTCTTATGACGGAGTTTTATCTAGTTACTCACGGGTAAAAAAAAATATTCCACAAGGTTCAATTTTAGGAGTCTTTGCTATTTATTCTTAACTTTAATGACTTAGTGAAATGCTTAAAACACGTTGAAGTAAAAAAAACTTGCAGATGGCACTGTTATTTATTGCTCTCATAAGAATTTTAATGTCATTGGAGAATTATTAAATAATGGTATTAGATATATCGCAGAATAATTTCTAGATAATGAATTAGAAGTTAATATAAAATAGAACAAAACAGAGAGTATGATACTCGGTACATCACAAATCTTAGGAAATGTCCAAAAGAACTTACGCTATTTGATAAACAATGTGATAAAAGTACCTTGGTACCACTATCGATCCATCTCTTACAATGAGCGACCATTTTAATAGCGTTTATAAAAAAAATGTTTCTTTATGTTTGAAAAAACTCCACAGCTTGCGTAAAAGCATTAATGCATACTCGCCAAAGAAATTTACCAAAAAATGATTATAAAACGAATAGTATTACTATTTGCTTTATAACCACTACTATTAAGACGAATAAATACTATTCGAATAGCACTATTCGCTTATCGAATAGTAGTATAAGCTGTTTAATAGCTTATCTTAAGAAACTGGTTTCTTATATATATAGGACCGTTGCAACCATTGCAGTGGTTTTGATCCAGTGCATTGGATCAAAATTAAACTACTCATCAAATAAATTCAAAAAGCGATTTGATGACCAATCCAAGCGCTAAAAAAATTAGGATTTTAATCAAACTAAGTTTTAATCAACCAGAACATTTAAAAAGTTTATTTCTAGATTAGGACAAATCTTGATTTTTAAAATTCTGTTATACAATCATACCCAAATTGACATTAGTATACGTATTAACTAGAACCACAATTATTAAACATTTCAATAGTACATACAATCAATGCAAATGTTTGATATGCAAATGTTTAATATGTTATGCATATTAAACAAAAAACTGACAAAGTCACTCAAAAGTGACTTTGTCATTAAACAAAGTCAGGTTCATTGTAAATCTAAATGCAGTCTTAATTAGATTGCTCGTCTTTCGCTATTGAAACACGAATTGTATTAAAATATGTAGCAAAACTCTTACTGATTCAAAGAGAGACAGTAGACAAATTCTTCAAATATTTTACTTGCAATTTGTACGATTTGTGTCAACCCAAGATTTTAGTAATTCTAAAAGCTTTGATTTTGGAAGAGAACCATGAAAATTTGTCATAATTCGACCTGTTTCTGTATATCGACGAATGATTTCATAAACAGTCGTAAATAGTCGACGAATGATTTCATAAACAGTTGTAAATAGTCGACGAATGATTTCATAAACAGTCGTAAATAGTCGACGAATGATTTCATAAACAGTCGTAAATAGTCGACGAATGATTTCATAAACAGTCGTAAATAGTCGACGAATGATTTCATAAACAGTCGTAAATAGTCGACGAATGATTTCATAAACAGTCGTAAATAGTCGACGAATGATTTCATAAACAGTCGTAAATAGTCGACGAATGATTTCATAAACAGTCGTAAATAGCCGACGAATGATTTCATAAACAGTCGTAAATAGTCGACGAATGATTTCATAAACAGTCGCTTGATGCCAAGATTTTGAAAGATTTTTTTAGATGTCTTTTGATAAATGTTTTTTCTCTATCAAAATTTGATGAAGTACTATTTTTTATTTTGAGTTTTGTAGAAATCTAATACAAAATGGTATATACACCCCTTATACACCCTGTACTTATACACCCTGTACTTATACATCCTGCATTTAAATTAACATTCATAGGTTTTAAAAGCTATAAATATATCCTGTATTTCTAGCTTTAAACGTAAAATTAATAACTAATGTATATCTGATTTAAACGTAAAATTAAATATTTTGATTAATTTGTAGAACAGTTGCATACATTAAATAAATTTTATTAAGAAATATTGAAAAGAAAATTAATATCACGCAGTCAAAAAATATATGACGCGTTGTCAAAATACAATGACATACTAATAACCAAAAAACTTCAAAGACCCAAGAATTACCGCAAAATATATATTTTTTCTTTTATTTCTTCGTTGCTTTTATTTTCTGTATAATCATAAAAGCTTCTGAGAAAATCGTGCAGTTTAAAAATTGCGTAGTTCGGATAAAAATATTGTGCTATTCGAAAAAAATATTGCGCAATTGGGAAAAAGATATTGCACAACTCGGAAAAAAATATTGTGCAATTTAGATAAAAATTCGTGTATTTATAACTAAATAATATTTGATATTTTATTAAAAAGATTAGAGGGATAATAAAGTTTTAAAATATCAATATACTTGAAATAAAAAACAGAAAGTTTTGTTTTCATATGTAAATATCATAATTACACTACTTTATATATAAAATTTAATAAAATAAAATGATGAAATTATTTACAAACTAATCACTATAAAAACAACTCATTTCAAACTACATAAAAAAAAATGTTTTCTCAGAATCTACGATATGTATATGTAAAGAAATAAAATTGTTCCAAACAAAACTAAAATTTGTTAATTATGCATCGAGATTGCTCGCAGAAAATAATTGATACTGAATACATAATAAACTATTTATAAAACATATATTACTGTTTATTTTTATTAAAATAATTAAAATCATAAAAATATTACTCATATATTCAAAATAAATTTCAATGAAATTATAACATCTGTATCAAAAAGGTTTGTTAAAAAAATTATAAAAATGTTTGGTAGATATCAAAAGATGCGAGAAAGTCTTGAAAAGCCAGGAAGCAAAATAAATATTGATCCTAAATGAAAAATGATTGACATTATAAATATATATTATTGGTTTTAAAACATCATCAATTCATGGTTCAGAGTAGTAAAACGCTTAATTGACACACGCACACTTTTTAATTGATACACGCACACTTTTTAATTGATACACGCACACTTTTTAATTGATACACGCACACTTTTTTAGAGTAAATATAAAAACAGCAACTTTTCTGTAATTTTTTAAATGAAAATATTAATTTTTTAATAAAAAAATTAATCTTTTAATAAAAAAATTATAATTCAAAAGTATTAACCTTTGTTTGAACCATTGCCGGTCTTTGTGATCTCAGTTCTCTTACGGTTTGAAAAATATCAACAACACCTTCAACTCGAACTCGGTCAATCACGTTAAACAATGCAATAAAAACTCCAGTACGCCCAACACCATTGCTGTTTATCAAAAATTGTTTACAAAAAATTAGATTTTTAAATTTAAAATAAAAACCCAAACTATTTTATAACTAGGTACTTAGTTAAGGTATACTGCAATGATTCAAAAGTAGAAAACAAAAATTAATTAAAAACAACAATTTTATAATTCATTTTTTAGTATTTTTTATCTTAAAAATAGTATTAAAATGAAAAGCAGTATGCAAAAAATACTTTGCACAAGTTTTATAAATTCACCACTCCCAAGGCTCTAGAAGTTTCACTACAGTCGAGTAAGCGAGTCGAATCGAGTACTCATTTTATTTGTAACTATTCCTCAACCATGAACTTTGAAACACAAACAAGATAAACAAGATTTCTGAGCGGAGAAACAGGTTAAGCGCACTACATCCAGAAGCATAGGATTCAAACCCTGAATCTTAATAAAATGATTGCAATTTTATTGAATCATTTTTTATTAATTCAATTTTGAATTAATAGTTTTTTATACCAATTCTAAGGTAAATTTTATAAAAAAATTAAACTTATTGTATTGAAGTCGTTAAAACATTGTATTGAACCATAGTTCTAGTTCTTCAATATTATGACGTGTTTATGTTAGACAAAAAAAAAAAAAAGAATACACAAAGTTTGTGTATTCCTTTTTTAGTTTATTTTGAATCTCTTTTAAGCTTAAAAAAATCTTATTTAAATATCAGTTTGCATGAGAGAGATGAAAGGCTCGCATTATTTAAAGCTATGTTATTTGTCATTTTTTATTAATTGAATGTTTTTTTTGAATTGTTTGTAAATTGAGTGTTCTAACACTAGTTACTTCATAAATAACGGATGTTAGTTGGAAAATGTGCAAAAGGGTGTAACAGATGTTACTTGGAAAATGCGCAAAAGGGTGTAACAGATGTTACTTGGAAAATGCACAAAAGGATGTAACAGATGTTACTTGGAAAATGCGCAAAAGCTTATGTATAGATTGATGAATTGAAATTTTATGCATTATACTGATGGAAAATCTATAAGAAAAAGTCTGGGAGCAGAAAAAATATTAAACTATGCAAAAAAAACAACAATGAACAAGATTCAAGGCAGGAATCAAGAGTTTGAGATTGTTGGCTTAAATAAATTTAATGTAGATTATAAATAATATACAACCTCAGATGAAACTAGTCATTATAATGAGTATTATAGTCACAAATACAACAATATTGACAGAGTTCCATCCCCAGCACGTCCCTGGTAGTACTACGCTCAACTTGTTTTTCTGCGCAGCGGCTTTTTTTGTCAGGGTTTGTGTTTCGGAGTTATAGAGTTGAGAGGGAGTTGTAACCAAAACTAAAAGTAGCCTCCTCGACTGTAGTGGTCTTGGGAAGGTGAATTTAAAAAAAAAAAAAATGGAGAGAAATTTTTTTTATTATAAACAATCTTTATCAAAAGATTTAAACCTTGGTACATAAATATTTCCCAAAAGAAAAGTAACTATTTTAGTCCTTGTAAATAAGACGGTAAAAACCATAAACACTAAGACAAAAACAGCACTTAAAAAACGAGCGCCAAATTTAAATCAGTCTTACATAAAAGCAGTGGCGGAACTACTGGACGCAGGACCCTGCGTTGCGGAGGGGCCTACCAGCTATAGGGGGCCCTCATATAAAAAAAGTTATACTCTCAATAATATTTATACTATAAAACTCTTTTCCGCAGGTATAGTGGGCCCTAAAATATAGAAAAACATTCTTTTGCGGGGGGGCCCAAATTTTGAAGTTCCGCCACTGCATAAAAGGAGTTAAAAAGCCTTTCATTATTGTAAGAGGTGAGATTCTATGTGAAAAAAAAGACTTTGAAGACAGTATTGATGAATGATAGATTCGATAGATAGAATGATAGAAATAATTTTGTAATAAAAAATAATTTTTAAGTGGGTAATATTTTTTTATGCTTAATATTTTGATTACTACTTGTTTAAATTAATTTTTTTCTTACATACTCATCCTTCCGAAACTGAGGGGTCATTCCTGTTGAGAAAGAATTTTTTTTTTTTGTTGTTGTTGTTTTTAATTGTTACACCCCTTTTGGCCAATAAAAACGAAAATATAAACCCTAACATGCAAGAATGCTGCAATGAATTTAAAGCTGTTCTTTCATCATTTGATAAATGAAACATTTGTACAACAGTTTACACAAAAATTTGTGCAGTCAAGCAACACAAGCTAGAAGTCATGAATTGAGGCGAAAAAAACCCAGGATTTATAACCTTACGCAGTAAACAATACAACACAAGCTTATATCTATGTTAGCCTATTTGATGGAGATTTTCGTCCAAAAAGGCTTCTACAAGCCTGGTAAGTGAGTGGATGCAATTTACATCATTCCTAAGATACCGAATCGAAACAACCTATCAAAATGCTCAACACTTTGAAGAAAAGTGAAACTATTTGGTTGAAATGAAAAATTGAAAGTTTTCAAAAAAAAATTAAAAAAAATTAAAAATAAAAACCAATATAAAAAGAAATAAGAAAACAACTAAAGCAAAACATTAAAAAGTAAAAAAATAACCTGCAGTGCACAACAATTGGTCCTGTGCCATTCTGCTGGTTCCACTTTTGTACTCGCCCAATCATATCAACAATACTTGAACCACTTTCTGGATGAGAATTATCTGGCCATGTAACATATTGAAAATGTTTAATAGTTCTTGAATGACCTTCCTTATAAAACAATGGGTATAATAATAATACAGCATAAAAATATTGTGAAAAAATGTTGTGAAAAAAAATATTTGGCCAATTCAAAACCTTAATACAATTTATTATAAAAGAATAAAAAAGGATACTTAATAAACTTATCATAAAAAGAATATCACAAAAACATTCTTAAATAGGCATTCTTAAATCACGAAAAAAAAAAAAGGAACTGATTATATTAGATTTCCATTTTAACACTTTATTATCCCTTATACTCCCCTTTTTATTTTATTCGTCATTTTATTTCACTCAACATTCATCTAAACTCAGTAGCTTAAACTTTTAAATGTAAATATAATAAAATTATTATACTGTTGTATGTGTCACTTTAAACTCGCGGACAATGAAATCTCCAATTATATTTTGAGATACATGCTCTATCATTAATGTTCCATGCATAGCTCCTTCTATAGATGGCCAATAACGATGTATTTTAACCTAAATAAAAAAATAATAAAAAAATTGCTCAAAAATATTCACATGTTTGACTAGCACTCAGTGGTTAAATGTCAAGGAATATGTGTCTATGTGTATTTATTATGTTATTTGATGAGCAGATGTGTGTGTGTGTGTATTTATTATGTTATTGTATGACATTTGACTTCTGATAACAAACTTTATTTGAGCTTGAGGCGAATATAAACAGCTTAATAAAAAAACAACTTCAAAAAAAGTTTTATAACCAAACTGTTAAAAACAAAACAACTTTTTTTTCTTTTTTTCATCAGTACTTTAAACACAAATCTAAATCAGCAGTAAATTAATTTCGATTCAAATTCCAAAAACAAAACTATGTTAACACTGCAAATGTTTTTTTGCTTTATCAAAACAAGCAAAACAATTAAAAAAAAACAGCGACATAAAAAAAAAAAAACTAACAGGTAATTACAAATTTATAATAAATTATACTTAAAAAAAAAAGCTCTTTTTAATTATTAATTTAATAACAAGTAATTATCAAATAACAAATGTTAAACTACCAATTTGATAATATACCACTAATACAAACTCAATGCACACAACTAACAAATGTTATTTTGTTAGTGCAGCAGCTCTTCCTTACATTACTTACATTTTGGTGTTTTTCTTTTCATAAAAATTTAAAATGTTTTATTTTTTTTACTTGTCATATTTTAATAAATGACTACTATTTGTCTTCCATTGAAAATTCATTTAACAAAAATCTTACTTTTCCTCCTTCTGTCTCCTGTGCTAAACAAACAATTGTTCGACAATCATATTCCCAAACCATTCTCCAGAAAGATACTATTGTTTGAGGTAACGGAGCTTGACTGGCAATAAATTGTTTTTCTTGTGTGTAGCCCTAGTTTAATTTTTTTTTAAACATATATTCTTATTTAAACAACACAAACCTTTTATTAAAAATTTAAATAATTTTAAGAAACAATTTAATAAAATTCCTTAGATATGAATGAAATAAAGATGTCAAATTTTTTTCAAAACATACATTGATGAAACTTGCATTGATATAATCAGAGCCTGCAACTCCTGGCATTGGCTTTAAGCATACACGCGTGTCGTCATCTAAAAAATATTGATTTGCATACAAAGTTTTTTCAAAATTTGTTATACAAATCTAATTATATAACATTACATGTCTTTGTGCTAACATTGAATTGGAGCTTTTATGATCTGATAACACATAATTTTTTTTTTTTTTTGTTATAGAAAAAAAAAACTTTTTTTCTGTATTAGTATTTTTTCTTGCAAAGCACTTGCTTTGCATAAAACAATTTTTGTGTACATATATGTACACTAGGGTGGAGTGAAAAAACCTTTTTTTAGAAATTCATTTGAGCTGTGTATGGAAAAGTTGCCTTTGGGTACAAAATGAACTGTGGTAAAAGCATTTTGCCCTAGATTAATATTTCAGTCTGCCCCAAGGCACTTGAAAATTTGAGTTTTTTGTTAATTTCGCAATTTTTGGTTTAAAAAATAATAATTTCCTATCATTACAAATTCATGTTGGCTGGGTATGCAAAAGTTGCCTTTTAGTTCAAGGTAAACTGTGGTAAAAGCATTTTGCCCTAGGTTAATTTTTAGGTCTGCCCCAAAGCTCTCGAAAATATGGGTTTTTAGTCCATTTTGTGGTTTTTGGCGAAAATTTAATAATTTCCTATAATTGCAAATTCATGTTGGCTGGGTATGCAAAAGTAGCCTTTTAGTACAAGGTAAACTGTGGTTAAAGCATTTGGCCCTAGGTTAATAATTAGGTCTGCCCCAAGCCACTTGAAAATTGAGTACTTTAATTTAAATCCATACAAAACCAATTTCGTACATATTTCAGATTGTTTATAGGCATATTAAATAACATTACAAATGTATAATATATCCAAGAACTTCACAGTTGTGTAAATCTTTATAATTAAAACTGAGACTTAGTGTTGAAAGTTTTTGTCTTTGATCTCGATTCCAGTGTGGCACGAATCATTCCATCTCTGCGATCAAAGCCGCAAACAGTAGCTGATGTTTCAGTAACAAGCTTAACGTGTCTTTCAGTTGACTGAGTGTGACATGGAAACTCTGGAATGTTTAAAACTGGTTCAGTCAATGAAACACCATTTACAAATGACTTTATTTCATGAGTTGAGATGTTCTTTGTAGCAGGGGGCTCGCTTTTCTGGACAACACTCCAGTGGATTAGATTAGTGTAGTCATCTGCTTCGAAATTAAGTTTGGGCACACGAAAGCGTCTTAGTGACTGACTGTTTTTTTCCCTTGCACCAAGGATTCTTCTGAATACCAGTTTCCTTATGTGTTCGTGCTCATCAGTCAACATTGCAAGTAGGATGTTTTCGTAATGACTGAAATAAGCATTTCTCTGAATTACCTCATCCACAATACATCTTAAGTCATTTTTAAGGTACCTTGAAAAGTTTATCATTCTCCATAGATGGAGTGCCCCTTGAGTACAAGATGATTTCGTCTTGATATAAAACCAAGTAGGAGCGTAAACTTTAACAACAAATGTTGCAAGAGTCACTAGATTTTCAGTTGGATCTTCCATCGAAACATATAACCGCAGAACTCTGCTAGCTGTTGTCAGCCAGCGCAAGTGAACTACAGGACCTGGAGTCTTATTTGCCAGATTTATTGGGCATTCACCATTATTCACTGCGTGGCACATTTTATATAAATACATTTGATCTGTGCTTAAATCTTTAAAATTTACATCTGGAAAACTATTCATCTCTATAGTTGAAAAATGCTTTACAGAAAAAGTTTCACAGATTGGAAGTAATTTACCAATTGGACCTGAGAAAGCTTTTGGTCCACTTGTGGTGCCATCTAACTTGCACAAAAGATGTCTAAAAGGGAGCTCATTTGCATGAAGCATGCAAATGAACCAATGCAAAGGCCTATCGAGTTTCATCTCAAGTAAACGGATGACACCTCCCAACGCACCAGTGTTGACATTCGTGCCATCACAACCGACAGCTACTAAATTGTCTAGTGAAATTCCATTCGAATCACAGAAATCTACTATGCCATATGCTATCTTAACTGATGTTCCATTTTCAGGGCTTATGTGACCGACATATATTGAATGGGGCTCTTGAGTTAGTGTAACATGTTCTTCTGTAACTATTTTGTAATAATACTTGGAACCTTTCTTGAGTTGCATTTTTGTTTTGGTCCTTCCTACCATCGAAGTACAAACCTGTTAGATTAGAGGCAAGGTGGGATTGAAGTTCATTTCTAACCTTCTGTCTTTCTCTTCGAATTTTACTTCTATCAATAACCATTGTACTGTCATAGTCATTTACGATACCAACGTCTTGCAACACGGCACTAGCAATGGCTGCAGCAGCACGATCTGAAATGCTATGGCGATCACATTCCTTTGAGATATTTGGAATATTTGCTCTCATCTGTTTTTTCTCTGCTGTTCCAGTAGTTGGAACCTTATGTATTGAGGGAAAATGGACATCAGTATTGTTGTCAGTTTCAGTATCAGAAGACGAGCTGAGTTCAACAATATTTGAAGACAATAGGGAGTTAGATGTAGTGGCTGTTGTTGAAGTTTTGTAAATATTGGAAAGTTTTCTTTTGCGATTATCGCGTTCTTTCAATCGATTAGTAACAACTTTATCTATACTTCCAATCATCATATTTCTTGTACTTCTTTGATCTTCCAAAAATGGTCTTTCTGCAACTGGTACCTTAAAACTTTTCTCACAATTGCAGTGATTTATGTCCAAGCATTTGCAGACTGCAATGTCAAACAACTGGAAATTAGCTTCTGTACAAAACTTTTGCATCTTTGCTTGATAGTTAGGATCATTCTGTCGCCTCTTTAAGGGCTTGAGCATATTTCGATGTTTGTCATGAAGTTCTTTTATCTTCGCTACAATCCGCTTGTGTGTTATAATTGGAATCGATGCTTTGTGCCACAATGCTTCGACTTTCGATGAAACACAACTTGAAACTTCAGCAACTGAAGAGATCTTTGCAGATCTTTATGTCATTTCGTCTTTTAGGAACAAATTATATTTCATCACATCAGCATTTGTGGGAAGAACAGTCTCTGGTAAATATGAAGGATTTCCAAAAATTGGGCAATTGGTACGCAGCCATGTCTTGTGCTTCTTACACCCACTAACACCAGCCATTCTTGTTATTTTTGTTCGGACATCACTCACAGATGCGAGGTTGTTTGAATTTTATAATCTAAAATAATTTTCTAATCTAAAATAATAATATAAAAATAAAATAATTAATTTCTAACATAATAATTCAAATAAAATAATGTAAATACTGAAATTTGTAATTATAGGAAATTATTAACTTTTTCTCCGAAAACCACAAAATGCACGAAAAAAGCCAATTTTCCAGTGCTTTGGGGCAGACCTAAGAATTAACCTAGGGCAAAATGCTTTTACCACAGTTTACCTTGTACTAAATGGCAACTTTTGCATACCCAGCCAACTTGAATTTGCAATGATAGGAAATTATTATTTTTTAAGCCAAAAATGCTAAAATTAACAAAATATTCAAATTTTCAAGTGCTTTGGGGCAGACCTAAATATTAATCTAGAGCAAAATGCTTTTACCACAATTCATTTTGTACCCAAAGGCAACTTTTCCATACCCAGCTCAAATGAATTTCCAAAAAAAGGTTTTATCACTCCACCCTAATGTACACATATACACATATGAGGTGATCCATGAGGAAGTGGGACAGGCATGTAACCCACCATCTCAGATATTCTTCATACTTTGTAAATATGGTCACCTTTATAACATAGAATACCTTTCAAAATTTTAGCACTGATATCAAATGGATTTTGGAGATATTGTTACTTTAAAATCAGCTACTTTTGGCAGGTTTGGCTGCCATAATGATTGTCTTTTTTAGTTTTTGTTTTACTAGTTACTGTTCAACTATACATGTTATGAAGCTGAAAATTAGCACTAGTATAGTTTTTAAGATGAGAAATCATAATATGATACTTATTTTCAATGAAAACAATCAAAACTTTATCCATATAAGGATTGTACTTCACCTATAGCTATTTATGAAATTCGAATAAAGGCAGAATGGAGGCCTGGTAACCATTGTAGCATTAATTTTTTGCAAATTTAAAATAGACATTTTAAAGAATATTTTTGTGTAAAATTGAGAGGTGGGTTTTTTGAAATTTGTTAAGAAATTAAAAAATATAGTAGTATTATATGAAAAAATAAATATTATGTGTTTGCTATCAATATTAAATGTTAATGTTAAAATTTTACATAACTTACATAATGAACAGCTTTTACTTAACCGGTTTAGTTTTTTTGAATAGTGCAATTTTTTTTGCAAAAAAATTGCATTAGCCCATTTAAAAGGCATAAAACTAATGTAAAAGTTAAGTTATTCTTATATATGTTCTTAACTAATTGTGCTTTTTTTTTACTAGTTTTAAAATTTTTTTATATTTTTTTATTTCTAAAATTATTAAATTATTATTTTGTAACTGGCAAATTTTTGTCTTTTTTTTTAACATTAGTTTCATGGTCTTTAAGGAAAGCAGCTGAAATATTTAAAAAACCTAAGTCAACCATAACTAAAGCAAGAAAACTTAAATTTAAAAAAGGAATATTAAAACTTTCAGAAAAAACTAACATTGTTAGAATTAAACCAAATATAATTGATAAGGTGGAAAGCTTTTATTGTAATGATCAGTTTAGTCAGCAGTTGCCAGGTATAAAATTTTTGTATCCAAAAACAAACGTGTATCAAAGCGATCTATTTTAAAATAAATAATCATTTGAAAAGAATGAAAAAGTTGGCGAAGATGATATAATTGAATGCGAACGATAGAGTACATTAGTTAATGCAGGGCTTCAAAGTTACACATCTACAGTAAATAAGTAAAACATTATGTTGGCAAATATGATATGCTGGGTTGGTTTGGTATCAGAAGTTGATAAAGAAAGTTAAGACGCCCTTGTAAAATCCATGCATCTTCATTTACCTAATACTCCATTACACATTATTACACTGGCTAAGTAGAGATGATTGTTGTTGGGTTTCTAAGCCTCATATTCTAATTATCATAAAAAAACCATTATCTTCAAGAAGACGGCATTTACCAGATAGACACAAGTTATTTGCCCAAATTCAAATCTTTAAATTAACCATACACCTGTTTTCTTTTATAAGCAATATATAAATTAATCAGAAGCAAGTTGAGGCAAATGAGCAGCCGTGGCGCAGTGGTTAGAGTTCTGGCTCAGAACCCAGAGGTCCGAGGTTCAATGCCGGTTCTAGCCCAATAAGCAAAATTGGTAAGGAAGGAGGCATGAACTTTTAATTAAATGTGCTCCCGCGGTGCTCTGCTAGGATTTCAGGGAGCACCTAAATAACAAAAAAAAAAAAATTTTTTTAATGTTACCATGGTGACCAGGCCTCTGTTCTGCCTTTTTTAGAATTTTAAATATCATATTCTGGGTTAAAATCCTTCAAATTTTGCCCCACTTTCTCATGGAATACTTGCGCACAAATATCTTTGCAATATATATTGTACACATGAAACAATATTTGCATATAATATATGCACACACATACACATACAAATATCTTTTCATGCAAAGACACTTGTGCATCTAAATGTGTGTGCATATATTTGCCAAATAGAGGATTATTAAAAGCAAACCATACAACCCAGCATCAAGAATTTCTAAACTTTTTTTAAATGAAAAGTTTCAAACTTTATTGAATAAAATAGAGGACTTACTAAATACATAAAAAAATAAATTTTTCTTTATTAAATACCAGAGATTAATTCTACAATATTATGCCATGTTATGTCAGACTGGTTAAAAAAAAACAACCTTTTTACAAAGATTTATTAGAATTTATAATTTTAACTTTTAATTCTAGTTGTAATTTTTACAATTATGCTGGTGTAACAAAAAAAAAAAAATTCTTGCACTTTTGAGATTTTTTTCCATTTTTATATACACGTGAAACTTATGAAAAAGTGCAACAAAATCTGTCATGCCATTTTTGAAATATTGCTTGTTAAAAGTCACTATACAGCAGCATATACTAGATGTCTGTCTGTCCCATAAAATTTGGGTATTGGTAGATCTATTCCACACTGACCATTTCTATACTTATTCCTTACTTCAATATTTTATGTTTATATATATGTATATTATATATGTATAAATATGCATATTATATATATATATATATATATATATATATATATATATATATATATATATATATATATATATATATATATATATATATATATATATATATATATATATATATATATATATATATATATATATATATATATATATATATATATATATATATAATCTCAGAGAGAGAAACTATAAATATTTTCTATCTTATAAATTTGAAAAAAAAAATTTTTTGTAATATAATTAACTTTAAAAAATTTTAAACGCTTTGTTAGCCATTGCATGAATCGCCATTTATAAGCAGTTTGAATATACCAGTCTATATAATATTTAGAATGCTTGATGTGTTGATTAATAACAATCAATATAAATAGTTTAAAAGTCACGTGAAAATAGACTTAAAAGTATGCAGAAAGTGCACTTACTATATCACACTGGCTATTTCTATACTTCTTTATACAGTTGTTTTATTTCAATAAATTTTAGTAAATGGTAGAAAATAAAATTTAAAAAAATCTTTGTTTTGATTTAACTATTAAGGCTCAATAACTTCTTATTGTAAAATTGTAAATTTCTATAAAAAAAAAACAGAGAGAGGGGACGGGGGTTTATTAATTTTTTCTTAATTAAGTCTTTAATGAGAATTTAAGTTTCTAAATTTTAATTTCTAAACTTTTAAGATATTTCTTAAATCTTAAGAAACTTAATTTAACTTTTTAATAAGTTTTTATAATTTTTTTTTTGCCACTTACTAGTCAAACTCAAAGTTTTTAAAATTATTAAGCAAAAAACCATAACTTAATAAAATGGCAAATAAATGCTATAAAATTATAAACTAAAAAATTATAAACTAAAAAAAAGTAAAACTATAAAACTTAATATCATTTTTATCATTACATAAGTTTACATAAGTAAGATAATTGCATACAATTTCGTTCACATTTTCTCATAAAAAAAAGTGTTGTGACTCTTTCTCGTTATTAATTCAAGTGTAATGGCTGCTATGAGTTCCATATCAAACATGTCGAATGAGTAACAGCAGCATTAAAATCAATATTAATATTTAACAGTTTATTGAACATAAAGTATAAACTCAAAACACAGATTTTGAACATTTGTAGAAGTTGGAGTCTTTTTTTAATGAACATATACATTCAGCAAGCATTTTTTTGTTAAAGCAGTGACCAAAATGCTTTTCAATGACCTGCCTTTCTTTGTATAGTCTTTCCCCATGTTCGAATAAAAAATTCCTAGATATGGCTCATATTTGTCCTTATGCTTTAATAGTAGGGGATTTTATTGGTTACAGCTGGACAGCCCATAGCTTGAAAGCTAGACATTAACAGTTCTCCTTTTTATTTCCAGTCTTCTGTTACGCTCTTTATGAGAACATGGGTGATCAGCCAAACCTGTTAAATCAATTTTGGGGATTTTATAACTGACACAGTCAAAATAATTTGCTTTCTGTTTTAATGACATTTTCTCAATTGAACAAAAATAGCTATACTCACCACTAAAGTAATCAGTTCAAATAGCAATTTATTTTTATTAAAGCAGTTTAAATTCCAGTGGCATGTTAGACAAATAAAAGATAGCATAACTTGCTTTTCAATATAATAACTATAGATAGCAAACTCAAAAAAGTAGCAAAGCGCACTCCATCACATTCTTTTAAAATGTTGAGAGTCACCAATGACTGTAATAAGCAAGCTTTTAAGTTAACAACAGACTCCAACAATATACTATACCTGTTAAAGCTGAATATTTATATTTCAGATTGTCAAACATCACAAATATTTTATGACCAATTCTTCATTAAAGAAAAACTTCAAAACAAAACAAAAATTGATTGCTCTTGCGAATACTTTGAAAAACATTTCAAAAACCACTGAAATATTTTGTAATTTAATTTACATTCAAATAAATTTTAATTGGTACAACTTCAAATTCCTTGAGTTGTAACAAAAAAATTATTTAAACTTGACCACAAACCAAATAAAAATAAAGAGTAGTCCAATTAAAATTGAAACTTTATTGTTATATAAGTGTAAACACATATAAACGCATTTCATTCTTATATAAATGTAATTCATTCTTATACAAATGTATTTCATTCTTATATAAATGTATTTCATTCTTATATAAATAAATTTCATTCTTATATAAATTGATTTAAACTAGTCTATTCTGTATATAAAATTTATTTTTGAACACAAAAGATATAATAATAATTAGTTATAAAAATAACACTTATTGCATCATAAATAACCAACAAAACTATTATACAATAAAATACGCAAGAAAACTTTTGTGCACTTTACTCAAAATAATTTGGTTAAAAAAAACTTACATGGCAAAACATTATAATATCGATTCTTATTCCTGTTGCATGTTTCGCTGGCAGCTTTTATTGTTTTTGTGTTGGATGGATCAAATAAATTCAATTTCTATAAATAAATTCTTTTAAAAACAGCAATAAAAAAATAAAACAATGAACAATGATAAAAAAATATAACATTATTTCAGACTAATCAATCAAAAATATTTATAACAATATTAGTTAAACAGAAATATAGAAATAATTCTGTTTATATATGTAATAAAACAAAGTTTAAAGATATATAATATAAAATATATAATATAAAGATATATAACACATAAAAATCCTTTTTAAGATATTGTTTAAAAGCTCACATGAAACTCTTTATCAATGCGAGTCTCTGTGCTGCCAGTTTGTGTTTGAAGCATTTTTTTAACATGATTTCTAAGATCTTGCACTTGTACTTCTGTAACACCAAATATAATATGCTCAAGCAAAGTATCATGAATGAAAATATATTGGCCCTAAAGTTTCAAAACAAATTTTTTTATAATCAAAAAAACAATTTAAAAGATTAATTTTAATATAGAAAAATTTTAAATATTTTCTTGATTTAAAAATATTTTGGTAGCCTAACTTTGAAACAAAATTAAAATTGTTAAAAATATAAACTAAAATAATATGTGAAAAGATAAAAATCACCTCTGTTTGCACCATATAATTTCTTTGGCTTCGAATATGTTGCAAGTATTTAAAAATTTCAACTTTTCCTTCAGCTTCAATTTGTTTAAGGTTGACATCTAACACAATATATGTTCCAGTGCGACCAACTCCAGCACTAAAATTAAAGGTGTTATCTGAAACTTTTGTTTGACATATATTTGGCATTAATAAAAGAGCTTTTTTCATTTATAAAAAATAAGTTCAATCATTGATTTATTATATATAAACTCATGTTTCATTAAAATAAATTTTACATATAACCCCATAACAAGACATGTTTTGTTACATATCAGAATGTTTAAATAAAGTTTTTTTTTAAATACTAATCACCTGCAGTGAACAACAACAGGACCAGAAGGTCCATCAGAGTTAGCAATGCTTTGATTGACATGTCTTATAAAAGTCAATAGAGTTTGAGGATTGGATATTCCATGGTCTGACCATGAATTAAAAGCAAACTGCTTTATAAAACGTTCTTGACCAGGATACTAAACATAATTAAAAAATGTTTTCAAAAATGTGTAAAAATGTGCATTGAAGAGCAGTTGTCATTCATTCAACTCATTCTGTTATTATTTTGAAATTACCCTTTTAATATTTTAAAGTAAAAAAGAGAACAAAGTACTTTACAGTAAAAACAAAAAAAAAAAAACAGTTTTTGGTAATAAAAATTTATTAATAAAAATTTTCATTAAAAAAATTAAGTTTGAAATATTATTTTGTCAATGTTTTTAAAATACTTTTTATAATTTTTATAATACTATAAGTTTTTAAAATACTTTTTCAAATTAAATAATAAAAATTGTAAATGTTATAAGACATAAGTAATATACTTTATTTCTTCAAAAAAATTAAAAAAAACCTCATCATGCAAAACACTAAATGTTCTGACAACATACGAAGGGAGGCAAGTAGACTCAGTTAATGTAATTTGCATCATATCATAACAGGTTGATCCAACATCGGGCCAATATTTATGGCATTTATTCTAAATAACAATTTAAATAAAAACAATGATTTAAATAAAAAGTTAGAATTTGTGTAAAAAACATAAAACTATAAGTAAAACTAAATCACAAAATCAAACATAATTCAAAATATTTTTTTTATTTTTACTTTTCCTTGTTCAACTAGTTGTGTTAGCATTACTATAGTGCTAACATTTTGCTCCCAACACATTCGCCAGAAATCTTGACATGTCTGCTCCAAAGGGCCTTACAATAAAAGTTTTTTTTAATAGTATTTATAAATGTTACAATAGTTCCATCATATGTTCAAGATTAAAAAAAAAGATAGTACCTTGTGTTGCAATATAGCCATGACCCATATAACCCTTAAAGCAATATAAACTATCAATATAAACATAAATTATTAAACAGCATAAATAATTAAAATAAACATAAATTACTAATCAACATAAACTATTAAAGCAAAAATTATTATTCAATATAAATATTAAAATAAGCACTATATATCATAAAGTAGCTTGCTCATTATGTTATGCTTTTCTTGAATTCCAGATTTATGCTAATAGAAATGAAAACATGAGAGTTACAGTTTTTGCATTGCTGCAAATTACAACATGACAATAATATTTTTATAATTTTTTATAATGTAATTTTTTTTGTTTCTACATAGTTTACCTTTCTAAATTAAATTTGAATTCAATTTCTATTTAAAATTAAACTTTCTTGTTAGCACTTTCTAATAAGTTTATAAATTGTGTAGTCAATATTTATTTGCACCTTATTTAAATAACTGATTGGTTAATTTAATCTTTCATTTTTTTTATTCATAACTTGTTCTGCAAATCAGCACAAGTTCAAAATATTTCAAAATGAGAGAATTGTTTTTTGATCAATAACCAGATTCACAATCATCTGAGTTAACTGTTAAACAGCTGAAGAAAATCAATTATCATTACATACAGAAGGTTTTGATGTGACAAAACAATGTGGTGGATCATTACACACAGAAGGTTTTAATGTGACAAAGCAATGTGACAGATCATTACATACAAAAGGTTTTGATGTGACAAAGCAATGTGATGGATCATTACATACAGGAATGTTAACACTAACTAAATTCTGGTTTAAAAGGTGTAGATTTATAATAGATGATGAAACATACTGTCGAAATTCCTGCATTAGGTAATAAGAAGTATAACATAGCAAACCTTAAAGTTAAAATAAAAATTTGAATATTTGATATGGCAAGAAATTGTGTCTGATTGTCAAGTTTCTGAACTTTACATTATGTCTGGAACAGTTAACAAGCAAGTTTACCTTAAAGAATTTTAAAGTTTCATTTAATACAATTTGCAAACAGCAAAACAAAGACAATGATGGTCATAAAAGACTGCAATTTCATTGAAATGCAATAATTATTTTTACCTTTATTGTATTTAAAAGGGTGTGAGTTCCCTCTTCCTGAGTCGCTAAATTTTTTTCCTTCTACAAAATAGTCTTTACATTCATTTATGATTCTTACCCAATGACATCATCTACAATCTACTTCTATTTCCACATCTCCCAGGTCCATGTAACCAGACGGCTCCGTTGGTCATTTTTTGCAATCATTGTGTCGCATAAACAATAAATATATTTTTTGTGGCTGGTGAGCCCCAACTTTTCCCAATGTACACCACAATGACAAAGCAGACATTAGGCTATCCCGCTGGATGTGGTTATGGCGCTCAATAACCTAATGACTACACTGACACTCATGCACACATTCATTTGGAAGCTCAATAAAGCACATTGAATCAGCGCTCGCTGACTATGTGTTCGGATCAAAAATCTCACTTCATAGCACATCATTCCACACCAGTATGGGGCAGTAGCTCTTTTGGCTAAAGGTGATGGCTTGTGGCCTACGGTGACCTACTAATGCGTGCATTCAATCAATTGAAATCCATTTTGTAGGTCTTACGTCTGGCTCTGATGTGCTAGTCCATAAGCGCAAGAAATGAGTGTGATTAGCCTTCTATTCACCCGATTTGAAAGTGAACAAAAACAAAATGAGACCATACTAGACCATTAAACAGTACATACTAATGGACTACACCATCACACCTGTAGACACTAACAGTCTCTAAAATCAGTGTATCAAATATTTGTTCTTTATTACATTTGATCTACACACAGAGTGACTAGAGTATTTAACCCCTGAGCATCTAATTTCGTTCTTCACCTTCACAAAAGTCTTACAACTCATTTTATATTTTCAACAACACTTTTTTCAACTTTATATTTTCTTATGATTTTTATTTTTTATTCAACGACACTATCTACTAACTATTTTTATTATCACATCTCCCAGGTCTACATAACTGGACGGCTCCATTGGTCACTTTTTGCTATCATTGTGTCGCGTAAACAAATAAAGACAATGATGGTCATAAAAGTCTGCAATTTAGTTGAAATGCAATAATTATTTTTGCCTTTGTTGCATTTAAAAAAGCTTTTTATTACTTAAAATACTGATTTTATTAACCTTTGGACAATTAAATCTTGAACACACTTTAAACAAAAATTATTTTTTAACAAAAAAATAAATGAAACTATGAGTCATGTAATTATGCATCAAATTCGTAAACACTTTTAATTTAAATAAAAAATAAAAATTCAATAAAAAAAAAATCAAATATAGAATTCAATCAACAACGTTTTAAAAATAATAATACAAAACAATCATACATCAATGTAGTTAGCATTGATATAGTCTGATTCAGGAATATCATCTATAGGCCGCAACAATACTCTTGTATGATCATCTAAAGATAGAAAAAAAAAGTCAACAATTATTCATTATAAAAATGTTTAATTTAATCAATAAATAATTCCTATTTTTGTTATTTAAAAAAAACACAGATGATAATATGAAAAGATGATAAAATGAAAAAAACAAAAGCAACATAAATTAGCATAACAAAACATCAATTGTAAAAATAACTTCAAATATCTGTATATAGATTTATATATAGGTATTTAACACACACACACATACACACACATAAATTAAAAAAAAAATTACTATGTGCACTTAATTTGTAAAAGTTATGGTCATATAAAATTTATAATCTCTTCATGTTGGGAGACATGCGAGGGTTATAAAATTTTTTTGATTATTTTTGAGTGTTGATAAATTTAAAACATTATGATAAATTTTCATTAAGTCTTAAGTTAGTCCATATTTTTATTTTCAAAGTCTATTCTACCAGGGGGTAAAAAATCATATCCTTCTTCTATCCCCGATTACTATGAATGAATAAATTTGTATAAAATCATCTTTAATACTCTTTAAAAAACTCTAAGAAACTTACATGCAACAATATTATTATAACGGTTTTTCTCTCTGTTGATTGGATGGTTGGAATGCTCATATAAGTATGAACTAACCCCTTTACCCTGTTGAATAAGCTAAAGAATAAATATAGATAAAACTAAAATGTAAAGATAGTATATACATATATAATATAAATATATAACTAAAAATTTAAACAAAAGTAAATCTTTTGAAATGATAATTGATTTTCAATCAACCAAATTGCTAATCAAAAATAATTTATTTAAAAAAATTCTAAGAAAGTTCTATAAATAAAAGAGAACTTTTCAATATCATTTACATTTCAGTATGATTTTTGCTTATCTAAATATCTATACATAATGAATTTCTAAATACTATTTGATTTGTTTTACCATTAACAAGATATTTACCTTATTTTACAATTAAAAACATTTTATTGAGGAAAATGTATCAGTTGATGAGCTTTTATATCATAAGTAAATGTAATTAATAAGTAAATAATATTATCATGAGCTAATATACATTGTATTTTAAAAAAACACATAATAATATATAAGTAATTAATTTATTAGCAATAAAATAAACATAATAGTATAGTTTTATAGAATATTCATTAATAAAACCAAAAAGTACAACAAACAAACCTTAAATTCTTCTGCAAATAAAAACTTCCCATCCTTTGATAAATTGCGAACATAGGCAGGAAAATTGCTCACTTTGATGGGAACACCTAAATAAAAAATAATTTTTAAATTTTTAAATGTTAACTTATCTTTATATGTTCGCTTAATAATAATTTACCAAGTTAGAAAAACACTATCAAAAACAAAAATTAACTGCATTATTTAATATAACATATATGATAAATTTGGCAAGTTCATAAACAGTCATAATATTGGAAAAAGCAAAAAAAAAAAAAAAAAGAAATATGAAACTCCTACACCAGGAAATACTGACTTGCACTGTTTTTCATTTTTTTATCAAAATAAATAAATCATCTAACATTGCTGTTGCTGGCAACACTTTCAGAGAAAGAATTATAAGAACTATACAAAAATCCAGATTCTTAATGTTTTTGTGCAAATCATATTTAAAACTACCAATAGAAATTAAGCTCCTTGTTACCTACTACCTAGCTACTTATTACATACTACCTAGTTACTATTTACATACTACCTATATACTAGTTACTTACTACCTAGCTACTTGCTACCTACTAACTTGTTATAAAATTAATTCCATTTATTGAAAAAATGATTAAAAGCAAATATTTATTTAAACAATAAATTGACATCTGCTTAGCTTCAGACATAAAATATTCAAATATTCATTTAAAATAATTATTTATATAAAATATTTGAAGCATATTTAAAGTTTTTAAAAAAACCTTTTTTAAAAACTTTATGTTATGTCACTAGTTACTTTTGAAAAGTACAAAAAAACTTTTACACTTTTAGGAAATGTTTGCATGAATTGAACACATTTTTACAAACATGCATGCAGTTTAAATTGGTGGCTATTCTGACTTACTAATAACTTTATAAAACTATTTATCAACTAATTTCATTAATTTTTTTAATGCATTAAGGTTTTTTTATAACTATATTTTTAAAATAAATATGAGTTAAAAAAATTAACTTGGACTTTTCCCAGTAACAATAATGTGTGCGTCTTTACAAACTTTTAAATTGATATATAAAATATATATATATATAAAATATATATACATATATATAAAATAAAATTGATATATAATATATATATATATATATATATATATATATATATATATATATATATATATATATATATATATATATATATATATATATATATATATTATATATCAATTTTATTTTATATATATGTATATATATTTTATATATATATATTTTATATATCAATTTAAAAGTTTGTAAAGATGCAAAAATATAAAATAAAATTGATATATATATATATATATATATATATATAAAAAAATTGATATATAATAAAATTGATATATAATATATATATATATATATATATATATATATATATATATATATATATATATATATATCAATTTAATTTTATATATATGTATATATATTTTATATATATATTTTATACATCAATTTAAAAGTTTGTAAAGACACACACATTGTTACTGGGAAAAGTCAAACAAATAAATTATAATACCTGATGGGGTATAAGGATCCAATTTTAAATTACCATTATCAGGATCAAAACCTTTGTTGAAACTGCCTTTCATAAGTGGATTTAAATTTTGAGATTCAATTTTATTTTCACCTTTGTTTCTAAATCTTTAATAAACTAATTTAAAGTATTTGAAAATAATTAAAATAAATTTGAAAATAAAAAGGTTTTTTCAAACACAAAGTCAGGCCTTGGCATGAAGAAAATTGTCCAACGCGATGTTTCGTGCTTATAAAACTCAAATATTTTTTTAGTGAGCCCGATTATGCACATTCGTCATTAAGTTATCGAGAGCGATCTTTTTTTTTGGATATGGGTGTTCCACATAATTTTATTAATCTTTAATTTGTCATAGAGCGTTCTTTAGACAATAAATATTTTTAAATTATTATTTAGCAGCGCACTGCTTGACAAAACATAAAAAAATCTTTCGACTTTCTTAATATTATTTTATTGCATCTGGTTGTGTTTTTTTTCCACCTAGTTCTTAATGATCTTGTTTTAAAGAATAAATTTATCTTTTATGTATTTTCTTTGTTATTATCTTCATCTTTAATTTAATACTACAGTCAATTTTTTTTTATTATTACATAGAATTTATTTCAAAGAAGTTCATAAGCTTTCATTTTTTTCATAGTTTCATTTGTTTAACAAAAATATAAATTCATAACGTTTTTGCATCATTGAAACATTAAAACAATGAAACAACAATTTCTTTTCGTTAAAACATATTTAATGTTTTTTTTGTTGCTTACGCTAATAGAACTTTTATAACTTTTTTAGCAAACAATTTCTTAAACTTATACTTTTCTTTTACTTAAATAAATTTAAACTTTAATTAAGTTATAAATAATATAAGTTATAAATTTAATAATAAAAGTTTTTTAAATTTAGTTAAATTTTGACTGAAAATATTTATAATACTCTAATTTACCGAATGACGTAGGTTATTATTTAAAGAAGTTTTTTTAAACGTTTTACTGCGATTGCCAAAACGAAATTGAAAATATGTGAATAGTAAATATTTTCTTTTTAACGATAAGCAAACTATTCCGTTCAAAACAAAATTTTTAGAAATTTTTTTTGCAAAATTAAATAAAAAACTTTTATAATACATTTGGTTTTTAGCAAATGCTTTTACAAAATTAAATTAACGTTTCTCATAATTGTATTTATTACACAATTTAATATTATTAATAAACTTATAAATAAATAAAATTTTATTTAATTTCGTTAAATGTTTGCTGTAAATGTTTTATATAAAGAAGTCTCACGCTTCATGCCAAGGCCTGCAAAGTGTTTAAAAAAAAAAGGTGTAAGGTGTAGGGTGTTTGTAAAGTACAAGGTGTGTAGGTTACAGTTGTAAAATAAAATAAAAAAACATAAACAACTTACTTGAAGTAGTATAAAGCTCCACCAAATATGAGTGCAATTAGTACTCCTATGATACCTCCAGCAATTTTACCTCCATCTCCACCTTCTTTCGGTATATTAACAACTGCTACTTCTAAATAGTGTAAACACATAATTTAATACTCATTAATATGTATTAAATGTAGATGCTTAAGCAAGTAATGCAAACAATTTTAATTAATTATAGAAATGAAATTATTTATTACAAAAGTAATATTTTAATAAAAAATTTATTAAAGATCGTTTCAAGCAAAAGAAAAAGAAAATATGGTGTGTGTCTACTCAAAAAGCATTCAAAGTTAAGGTTAGTTTAGTTTTTTTATGCGTAAAACATGTTTACATTCTACCAGTAAATCAAATCAAATCAATAATTTTATTTACCGGTAATTAAGTTTGTCATTACTGGTAAAATCAGTAAAAATTATTTCAAAAAATTATTTTACAAAATCTGATAAACTAGGATCATCTATCCAATAAAAAACTATACTTATGGATAAAAATTCACCTTGGCAATATTTTATACAAGTAGAAAATGGAAGTGCAGGTCAAAGAAATGTTCAAAAACAGTCTACACTTCTGGCAACAACAAAAATGGCATGTCCAAATACAGCACACAATTAACCTTTTAAAAAGAAATAAAGCAGATAAACAAAACAAAACCACAACTATAACAATGATTTTCTATGAATTTGAATAACTCATCAACAATCTTAAAATGATTTGTTTCATGCAGTTGTTGCCCAATTAGCAGGTTTACTATTTGTTTACTATTTGTTAAGTTTATATTTAGATTTAAAAGTGTAAAAGTTGAGTGTTACACAAAAAATTGACTCAGACAGATCTGAGATTTACTATATACTTTGTAAAATTAACACATAAATTGTATTTCAACATTCAACTTGATGATGAAGACAAAAAGTGGGGACTTTGCATATTGTGAGCCACATTTGTGAAGAGTTAATAAAGAGAGATTTACAAAACTACATTACCAACTGCTATTTTTATTTTGTTTACTACTGGCAAACTTTACAAACTGGTATTGGCAAGAAATAGAAGCAAAGTTCTAATTTTTAAAGGCAAATTTTAATTAGAAGATGAAAAAAATGTCTGATGCAAAAGCTGAAGAATTTGAAAGATTTGAAAGACTCTAAAATTAAAAATTTAAATCGCTTCAGTGTTTTAGTTGGATAGAACTGAATGACTTAGTGCATAATTTAGGCAAGTAACAGAACTAAAAGCTTCATTTAAGCAAAAGAATCGTCTTGTCAGCTTTACAAAACTTTTTTTACTTTAGAGAAAGAAAGGAAACCTTTGTTTCCTTTCTTTCTGTAAAGTAAAAAAGTTTTTATAGCAGCATTGAAACAGCCACAGAAAATTTAGATGCTGGTCTAAATTTGCTTTATATTTGTTGATTAAATTGGAATTTACAACATTGTCCAGCAAAGCATTCTATGCGTTAGCCATATAGTTGTTTAAAAAATTATATTTGACTTAAGCTATGGGGAATGATTGTATTAATCTGACAATTAATTAAATTGATTTTATTTTCAAATTTAAATAATCTAACTAAAATAGTATTTTATCTATATTGCAATGCCACTATCGCTGGTCTTTTCTGTAGATATTTTAATTAAAAAAAACGGGTGCTGAAAATTCATTAAGCAAAATTTCTGTAATAAAAATAAAATCCTATTTAAAGTTAGCTAGAGCTAGAAAAATTCCTTGGGAGTGGTGATTCAATGATGGAGTGTTGTTATAGAAACAGTTTAGATAACTGACATATGATGAGTTTTGTTTGATTTTTGGATATTTAACTGATTGTTTATATGAAGTGGAGTGCATTGCTTTAGTTGTTTGTGGTTGACATGGAAAGTGCAATAACTCAACAGTTTTAGCTTTTTTTGCATTTGTAGCTGCTTTTTCATTCATAAAACAATTTATATTGATTCCACAAACTGAGATTGTTTTAGTGATACCAATACAGCAAAACTAATTTTTGTCAAGATAATAAAGGTTTCAAACTATGTTGATGATGTTGGAAGTTTTTTTTTTCAAAGATTCTTTGAAGTTGTTCACATAGTTTATAAATTTTATCTTCATGCAACAGTAACTCTTATGCAACAGTAATTTTATCTTTATGCAAGAGTAACTTAATTTTAAATGCAATAAACTCATAGCAGATTTCTTCATTCATTATTTAAAGCATAACTGAGTTGTTTTTAGTTTTTGCTTCTTTTTATTTTAAGTTTTTGCATGCCAAATTTAACATGAAAATTTTTGAAAATGAATCCAATGTTAGTAGAAAAAGTTTTTTTTCACTCCCCTATCTTAAATCTGGCTTTATTAAACAATTTTATTAGGCACTGAAAACTGATAGGGCTTGCACCTAATATATTATTTATAACATTGCCTGGTTTGTCATTATAAATTTTTTTTTGATGGACTATAAATTTGCTATCTAAAAAATAAAGAATTTGTAAAAACAATAGGTAACAAGCAGAAAACAGCCTGGTTGTTGTCTGTAGTTATTGTAAAGAAATCTTTAGTAAATAAAAAAGAAAACAATGCTTAGTTGCTTTAATCCGTAAAATTAAATAAAAAAAAAATCTTTTAAAATATACTTTAGAACTTTTAATTGAGTGTCAAATCTGCTTTTTATAAAAACAAATTAAAAAATTTGTTAACTGCCTAAATTTTACACACACACAACAAAAATATAATGCATAATTTGAATTCAGATTAGTCAGATTATTACAAAAATTTTTTTTTTGCCTGCATTATTAAATATATATATTTGCACTGATAGGGGAGAGAAGTCAACTATTAGTATCAATCTATATAAACATATATAGGTATCTACCTATTGATACGGTTGTCCTGCCCTAATATAGGACCAGTTTAATGCAATGACTAGGGCAGACAATGTAATAAATTATTTTAAACATGATATAAAATATTACTTAATATAATGAATGAAAAAATAAACTAGTTACCTGTTTTGTAAGGACCGTCCCAATCTTCACTTGAAACATACAAATCCTAAATTAAACATAAATAAAAAAGAAACATTAAACAAAAAATTTATTCTACTTTTTTTAATTTATTTAGCGATTCAACTATATCAATTCTACATTAAAAATTTATTTTATTTTATTTAAGCCATTTAACTATAAGAATTCTACATTAAAAAAGAAATAATAGTATCAAAATTAAGAAGAAGACTAAAACAACTGGATACTGAAATTTTAATTACTTTAAAAATTATAAACATGTGCTATGAAGACAATAAACAATAGTTATGAGGTGTTATAAATTTTTTCTTTTAAAAAGTATCTATAAAATTTATGATTTTGTAGTTTTGGGTATTGTATGAAAAAAACAACCAACAATAACTTTAAAATTTTATCTTTAAATGCTTTTAAATTTATTTTATTGCTATGACGAACTTTTATTTACTTGAACAAAATAAATAAAAAATTCTCCAAATTTAACAAACTTTAAAACAAAAGAAAAAGATTTTTTATAATAAAAAAGTGTTTACCAAGCATTATTTAAATTTGTTCAAATTATTTTACACAAATTCAAAATGTTAAACACTAATTCTTAATTTCTAGTACTGTGCACTGACAAATTTATAAGGCATTGTTATTTTATCAATTGAATATATTTGCATATTTTTTCCAGGATATAGATCATTGGGCGGTGATAATTTGGCAAACAGAGAAGTAAAGTGCTAATACCCTTAGTACAATCTAATATTACGAAAGCACCAATAACAATATTTATTTTATATCAAAATGGCATTTAGCAATGAGTAAACATTTTTAGCATTGTTGATTTTCATTTGAAAGTATAAAAAATTTTTATTTTATTTTGAAAGTATAAAAAAAAATTTTTTCTTTTGAAAGTATAAAATTTTTTTTTTTCTTTTGAAAGTATAAAAAAAAAATATTATAATAATCGAATAATTTATGTACTGTTTAGCTATTCAATTAACTTTAAAATAAGTTTTTTATATATAAGCTTTTCTTTGTTAAATCTAAAGGAAGAAATTTTTGCGTTAATTTTATATCCTTTGTTTCATTTCATGAGCTATTAAAAACTGTTGTTTTTTTAACTAGTAGCTGATTTTAATTTTCTTCTAATTTAAATGATTATTTATATAATTAAAGTGCGCTTAATTTAATTTATTTTATTTATTTGAAGTTAGTTAAGTATAGAAATTTTTTAATTTTGAAAATTTTAATTGTTTTTAATAAAATTAAAAATAAAAAAATTTAAAGTGATCACTTTAATGATAGGGATGATAATAAATCTATTTTTTTTCATATACATTATAAATGCAATATAAAAATATAAACAATATAAAACTAATTTTAGTGCATTCTAAAAAAAGTTCTCTATGTTCTAAACAGAGCAATAATAAATTAGCAAAAACACTTATCTATTTTTTTGTTCAACAGACTGTTTCTCTTTCTGTAAGTTCATCAGAAAGAATACATATATATAAACTTAATTGCCTTAATCAATCATAAATCAATAAAAAAATAATAATTTTTTTTTTGATATTATTTTTTACTTTAAATTCAAATAACATTCCATTAAAGCAAATATAACTTTATAAAATACAGAAACATATCAAAATAAAATTCGTGAAAACAAAAAATAATAACTGTAAACAAGTAAACTTATTTACCTGGTTAACATGTGTTCTTTGAAATACACAATAACTTCTTCCTGATGATAGTGGACCATTATGGTATACTTTTGCAGCTGATCGTCTCTTTCTTGCCTGATTTTTTGTTCCTGATCCAAGAACAAATGTACCATCTTTAGGAAATTTATCACTTGATATATTGGCAGCAATATAAGGTACAAAACTATCTGTCTTTCTAAGAGCAATATATTCTTCATAGGTCTTTAGATCTGAAATATCATATTCTTTAGGTTTTTTGTTAGGTCGTCCATTGATAGTTTCAATTACAACAATCAAGTAATAGCTTAAATAAAATATTCAATAGTTTTTAATTGTATTAAAATAACAAGAAAAATAAAACTTATTAGTGTTCTGTAAAAGTCCATAAGAAATTTAATGGCAAAAAAATATTTATTTAGTAAGTATTTAATAAAATATTAAAAAATTTTTGTTATTTTTTTTTATTATATGTACAAAGTGAATGTAATACAAATAAATATAACACAAAAATTTTTTAACATTTGACTTGAGTAACAAGCACAGGCAATATTATATTTTATTTCACAGGGAACTACAGTATTTTCGCTATTTGGGTTGCAGGTAAGATCTAAACTCCAAACGTTTGTATGTTTATATCATGTATCTCATATATTTATGTTTTTCATATGTATGTCTTATAAGATTATATTGTTGGCAATTAGAGCCTGGGAACAAAAATATCATGAAAAATTGGCATCAACTGAATATATGTGAAGGAAACCGCTTCTTCAAAATATAAATTCTATTAAATTAAATGATAGTTTATTCAAATATTTAAAATATCATTAAAAAATATTATTATGTTTAGAAATTATACCCATGTAAAACTTAAACCCCATTAGTTAAGAAAATTTTAAACTTTATATGGTATATATAGGTTTTTAGGTGGTTTAACTTTAAATTATTTTATTCTTTTCGTGTGTAATATTTTTTAGTACCACAATCTAATAATAAACTTATTTTTTAATAATCTTATTTCAACAGCTATTTAAATATTTATTCAAATTAGGGCTGTACTGGATTTCGGCTCCGGCTTCTGCTCCGGCCGAAATCCGGCTGTTTTTACTGTTTTTTGCTGTTTTTCTGGCCCAAATCCGGCTCCGGCAAAAATTTAGCAAATCCGGCATAATTTTAGCCGGAGTTTTGAATTTTGTCCAATATTTATTACATTTTTTTTTGCCCGTGTTTACATGTATACCTAATATTTTATTTATAAAAATCAATTTTTTTTGTAATTGTATATTTTATGAACCTCATATTTGTTTTGGTATTTGTATTTATATTTCTTTATAATTTAATAAGCTTAGTCTAATTTCAAACAACAACGCAACAAAAAATTCTGAAGGGAAGACACACAATATTCTACAATGATGCAGGTATAAAGATTATGATGTCAACCCTAATCAAGTGATTGGATGAGCATTTTAAAAGCATTGAAAAGAGAAACATCTTTATATACTGACGAGGCTGGTTGACTCACAATTTAAAACTAAATTCTCCTCATTAGAGGCAACACTGAGAGCTGAAAAAACAAGATTGAAGTCAATCTGAGCATGCTGAACAGAAGATTGACAAAAGTGAAGAAAATCCATCAAAATAAGCCGGGCTTAATAATTTTTCTACATCATCATCATCATTACTCTGGCAATTTATTGATAAAATTATTCAGTCTATGTCCGCTGGTGGCAGGGCACATAAACAACAATTACTAAAAGGCATTGAAACTCAGCTAAGGAAATATGCGAAAGAACCAGAAATAAATAGACACAATGATCCACTACAGTGGCGGAGTGACAAAATCCCGGAAAAAAAGTTCAATAGAATTACTATAAACTTTTAAAACATATGGCCTATAGAATTTCTTTAGAATTTCTATTAATTTATATATAGAAATTGCTATAAAACTTTTTAAATAACAAAAATGAAGTTTAACAGAAAAAAGCAGTCACTTGGTATTCTGAATAGTCCACATTGTTGACCATGCTCAACACCAAGGGATGTAGGGATGTACAGGATTTTGGCTCCTGTAGTTTTCTTTTGAAATCCGGCTCCGGCTCCAATTCCGGCCGGATCTGTCAGTAGAAATCCGGCAAATCCGGCTCCGGCCGGATTTGAAAAAATTAAATCTGGTACAGCCCTAATTCAAATAAAACTATACTGGAGTCTAGTATATATCCTTATAATGAACTAATAACATAAACACAAACACTGAATAACATAATTTAAAAAAATATTGTTTTATTATTCTAATATAAATTATATATTTTTTACTTTTAAAATTTGACCAATACCAAATCATACACAAGTTTAATATTAAACTGCCTAGAATTTTAAATTAATACAATTTAAGAATAATATATAGTTGTCTGGAATCTTAAATTAGTACAATTTAAGATAAATATACAGTTGTCTCAATTCATTAATGAGTACAATTTATGAGAATAATATAAAGTTTTCTGAAATTTTAAATGAGAATAATTTAAGATTAATATAAAGTTGTGTAAAATCTTAAATGAGAACAATTTAAGATTAATATAAAGTTGTCTAAAATCTTAAATGAGAACAATTTAAGATTAATAAAAAGTTGTCTAAAATCTTAAATGAGAATAATTTAAGATTAATTTAAAGTTGTCTAAAATCTTAAATGAGAATAATTTAAGATTAATTTAAAGTTGTCTAAAATCTTAAATGAGAATAATTTAAGATTAATATAAAGTTGTCTAAAATTTTAAATGAGAATAATTTAAGAATAATATAAAGTTGTCTAAAATCTTAAATGATAATAATTTAAGATTAATATAAAGTTGTCTAAAATCTTAAATGAGAATAATTTAAGATTAATATAAAGTTGTCTAAAATCTTAAATGAGAACAATTTAAGATTAATAGTTTTAAAATGACAATTTTTTAAACCATTGAGTTTTTTTTTTATCTAATCAAAAATTTGAAAAAAAATCAATGAAAAAAGGTAATAAGATCTCATCAACATTATGTTACTAAATCAATCCTGGTATGATCCCTTTGTTGTGAGTTATTGAGTTAAACATAATTAATAAGATTTAATTACTAAATAAATAAACAAGTAAAAAAATATACTCAATTTACTAAGATATTAGCATTTTTTTTTTATCAATGTTTGAAATATGCTTAAGTAACTTTCCAGCTTTCTTCTTATAATTGACTATTTAAGATTTGCATATATAAAATATAAATTTGTTTATATTTTATATAAACAAATTATATTACAGACAAAAATAATAAAATAGATTAGGTTTCCTTATGAGTTAGATGATATTTCATTGAAGATTTAATGAAAATTTAAAGGCAATCAAGTAATCACTTCAAATTATTTTTTCCTAAATTATTTTATGTTACAGAAACTTTCATTCTTATGAAAGTCATCAAAAGTTACATAGGTAGTTTTTTATATGTATTCTTTTTTTTCTTTTTTTTTTGTAATTCACCTCCTTAAGGCCGAGAAGGCCACTACAGATGAGGAGGCTACTTGTGGTTATAACCCTCTCTCAACTCCATAACTCCAAAACATGAACCTTGACGAATAAGGCTGCTGTGCTGAGAAACAAGTTGAACGCGGTACTACCAGGGACGTGGTGGGAATCGAATCCAAACCTCTCGCTTATAAAGCAAGCGCTCAACCACTACACCACTACCGCATAAAACATTCAAGCAGAATTTTCAAAACAAATTCAAAACAGAGAAAAAAAATTTCTTAAACATCGAATTATTGATGAAATTCTTTTTAATGCTGTTGTAACTATCAAACTTTGTATTGAGCAGATATGCTTCTAATAAATAAAACCTTATATGTATACATTTGCTTATTGTTCCATTATCAAGTTTCACTAATCCCATCTTAACTAATAGTATTATTGACAGTAAAAAGAATATTAACAATAATAACAAAAACAAAATTAACAACTTTTTTAACTTTTTTATAAAATAACATTTTTTTAAGTTAAAAACTAAAATAATTTTGTAAAAAATTTTCTGAAAAATCTTTCAAAAGTATATAGAGGAACAAAATAAACATCTTAAAAATCAAACATAAAAACACTCATGCCAGAAACTGAACAGAAAGTTCAGAAACCAAACAGATAATTCAGAAAACTTTAATATATATATTTTAGTTAAGTTTCAACTAAAAAACTAATAAAGATCACCTAAATTTTTTCATGAGTTTTTATTAGACACTTGTTAACAAAATACAATGAAACATATTGATATAATATAGGAAAATTCTAAATAAATTAATGTAATTATTATTTTTTTAAAAATACCTTATCCTGCCATTTTCATTTGATCCCTGAGATATACGTATTGTTATTGTTTTGCTTGTAGGTGGTTCTGATGGTGGACTTACTGTAGGGGGAAGTGGAGGAACTAAACAAGGTTTATGTATGATACAACATATTTTGTTAAAAATTTTATAAATTAAATAATCTTGTATGTAAGAAATTCAAAATTTTTAACATTGTGATTATATAAAGTGTATATTCTATTTAGATCCAAATTAATTCTGTTAAATTTGTTTTTATTCTGGTTTGATTTATAAGGGCTATTTAAACAGATAACCTTATAAACCAAACCAATTTTTAAAACAGATTTAACAGAATTGATTTGAAAATGAAACGAAAATAAAAAAAATAAAAAAATAAGTAAAAAATAAAGAATAAAAAAATAATTAAAAATGAAGTAATAAAATAATATAAGATGGAGAAAACAAAAACAAAAAAACAAAAACAAAAAAAAAACAAAAAAAAAATTTTAAACATATAAATCAAAAAGCTCAAGACTTACTAGTCTCACTCGTTCGAACTGTAATGCACTCATATGGACCTTGACTATGTTCAGAAACACATGAAATACTAAATGAGTATTCCGTGTATGACTTTAACTTTTTAATTTCAAAAAAAAGTGACTCGGTTTCACCTATTACAATACCAGTAGTTTTATTTGAAACAAGATACTTTAAAATTTTTCCATTAGGCTTTTCAGGAGGCCTCCAACTAAGTTTAATTGTTGTTGATGTTTTTTCAAACGCAATTGCAGTTGGTGGACCAGGAGCTATATAAAAAAAGTCATAAATAAAAATTAGGCAGAAAAGCATTTTTTTTTTAAAAAAAAAGAAGAAAAATCTATTTATCACATTTTTTATGCATAGTTTTTTTAAAAATATTTATTCTCAAAAAAGCTACAAGAAACCACTGATTAGATTTTCAAGTAAATAAAAAAACTATTTATAATATGGAAAACAATTCAAACAAAGACAATAAAACTATTTGGCAAAAAAATAATTTAAAAAATTGTAACATAATGAAAAAAAAACAGCATGCAAATAAATAAAAATGTTGCAAATAAAAAACTATATTGTTATTGTATATTGTTATTGTTATTGTATATTGTTATTACAAAAAACAACGCAAATAAAAATATGGAATTGATAAAAATATGGAATGCATTAAAAAGATGAACATAAAAAAAAAAATTACATTTTCATACAAACTTATCTAAATATCATTCTTAATACATTTCTAATAACAACTATAATTCCTAATAGTAACAAAAATAAAAATCACATGTACTAAAATGCAAATAAACAAATAATTATTAAACATTTAAAGATTTAACGGTTACACTACGGTAGGTAAAAACATTGTAGCATAACATATAAAATACATGCATACACAACTGTGGTTATAAAATATGTGCTTACACAGCTGTGGTTATAAAATATGTGCATACACTGTTGTTATAAAATATGTCCATACACAGCTGTTGTTATAAAATATGTGCATACACATTTGTGGTTATAAAAGCAATTTCGCCCTCATCTAAGTGTTTTGTAATACACATTGTGTACCAATGGGTAAACCTTTTTAAATCATGAGAGTGTAAAAGGTTGTAAAAGGTGTAAAAGGTTGGCCATGTTGGATTAAAAAAAGATTTTTTAACATTATTTTTCCAAAACAACCTCAATGAGTCATTTACCTTTCATCTTTAAGGATTAACTCTTACTTCAGATCTTTCTTGGAATCTATATATCAAATCAATAGCAAAATTAGCATCTGCTAAGACTGCATCTTTTTATCCTGCATTCATACTCTCTAGTTTATTCTTTATCTCTATAAATCTCAAAAACATTCTTGTATGAAATACTGTTGCTATATCTGGAGTGGATCTTCAAATGATGTCCTTTCTCATTTAGATAAGGTGAAAAAAAAACTTGTCATTCAATTAAATCTCATCCTTTTACTGTGACTGTTCCTAAGTGCTTTAAAAATACTTATTAGTCTAGTTTTTTCCTCGAACATCAGTTTTTAGGAATTCGCTCCCTTAATCATGTTTTCCTGATTAATATAATTTGCAATCTTTTAAGACTGATATAGATACATGGGCTTGCACAATTTTGTCAAAAACAAAGAGCAAAATTGATCTTGGAATGATTATACTAGAAAATTTAAAATGAAAAAGCTAATTAAAATGACAATCAGAAAACTAAAAAAAATGATCTAATAAAACATAGTTTTATTAACTGTTTAACTTATTTCTCTATGCAGTGGCCTTGTTTGTCAAGGTTTGTGTTTTGGAGTTAGAGAGTTAAGAGAGGATTGTAACTACAATTTAAGTAGCCTCCTCAACTGTATTGGCCTTTGTGGCCTTCATGGCCTTGGGGAGGTAAATTAACAAAAAAAAAAATCTCAATCAAAATTCAACCAGGCTATCGTATACATCTACGGTTCAAACTCCGAATTATGATAAGGATGTAAAACAAGTAGAACAAGTTTAGAGGATAAAAATTGAAAATCTTAGGAGACATAGAGGAATGACTTGATATTTTTAATATAACATTATTAGAAGAGAAGTGACATATGAGCAACATAATTAAGTTTTTTAAATTTTACAAAAGTATAGACAAAATTGTTGGGCATCGTCTAAATAAAAAAGCAATTATGGAAAACACCTCATAGACTAAAAGATCTTTAAAAGACATTGTTATCAGCAAAATACAATTTTTTACCGCACAAACAATTTACCTGGAACAACTTCCCTCAAGAAACATATTTTGCATGTGGAATCAGTGTTTTCAAATAACTTTTTGAAAAATTCAAGGCTGTTAAAACCTAACTTATACAAGTTAGATTCCAGTGTAAAAAACAGCACCACCATGTATTATATATATATATATATATATATATATATATATATATATATATATATATACATATATATATATATATATATATATATATATATATATATATATATATATATATATATATATATATATATATATATATATATATATATATATATATATAAGTATGTATATATATATATATATATATATATATATATATATATATATATATATATATATATATATATGTATATATATATATATATATATATATATATATATATATATATATATATGGGTAATTCCACGCAAGTGACGGTCGTAACATTTGACATGATGACGGTCGTAACATTGACTTTTAGCTATTAAAAGTCAAATAAGAATGATATTGATTTGAAATTTTCCAGAGATGTTAAATACTATTATAAAATTTACTATACAAAATTTAAAGTATACAAATCTTCAACTTATTTGAAAAATTGTCTTAATGTAGTGTGACGGTTGTAACGGTTACTTTTTGACAATTCTAAACAAATCGACTTTGACAATCTTTATGCAGTCATCTATGCGGTGAAAAAAAAATTCTTTGCTGTATGCATTCACTACATATTAATCTTGCTATATGCCAAGTTTCATAGTTTTTGCTTGATGTTTTACAAAATGTTTTTTGTCATGACGGTCGAAACCGTGAGGGTCGTAAAGAAAATGCGAATAGTGAAAAACAGCTGAATGCATGGCGCATTTATTGAATTCATTGCATGGCGCAATGAATGGCGTAAAAAAAAAAGAGTGATTATAAAAACTAAGTAAGTTATGTTAAAATATGCACTTTATAACATTATCACTGGGATCATATTACATTTATACTGGGTATAATGATCCGGGTATGACGATGACTGGGTATGATAATGATGACTGGGTATGATCATATTACTTTTATTTGGATTAAGCAACAAATGCTTAATGCCCTTTTATTCTCCTGCTTGAAACATAGGTTAAATAAATAATTATATTAGACAAGTAAATTTCTTTAACTAAGCATATTTGTTTTAAAAAAACACATAAAAAAATATTAGAAAATTTTAAAATTAAAAATTTTTCATTTTTTATTTGGCCGAAATGCATTTTGGTAATATTTCTCATGACTTTTGCTTCTTCTATTTTGTTGGCTATTAAGGCCCACTTTAGATTAATATCATCAGTGTTGATAAACCTAACATAAGTTTTGCACCAGTTTGATGCTAAGAGGAAGTCTTTAGCCTTTAAGATGACAAATTCCAGAGATTTTACGCTATTCCAAACATATCGCTTCAAGGATCCTCCTACATTAACTGCTACTTTAGCGTGAAATTAGAAATTCCATTCTATACTCTGAAAATGATATTTGACAGTGCAATGTTGTATGAATTTGGCCATATATCTATTTTTGAATTGAGTGCAAATCACTCCATAATATAACTTTTTTTATATAATCTATGCAATAGAGGTTAAATATTTCATTTAAGTATGCAGTAGTAGCGCATTTTATTTTATCATTATCGTTGGATATTAGTACAACTGATTTTGGGTCTAATTGGTAACTGTAGATTACAACTGTAAACAAGGTAATAGTCGACTGCGACCAATAAGCAGCTTGAACAGCATCCTGGTAACCACATGTGTAGTTTTGTGAATAATCGAAGTGTACCGAAATTTGGTCTGGTTCGTGATTTTCTTTTTGACTGCGGTATTGCTCAGACTGATGCTTTTTAGTGAGATGATACTCAGTAAACTCTGGTAAATAGTTGCGGAAATGTTTAAAAACATCTTTTATGTTTTTTCTATGTTGACTGAGTACACAGCAATGATCTTCTTTTATCCACCAACTTTAGGTAATTAATGTATCCAAGTCTCCTTTTTCAGGCAAAGAAACTCTTAATAATTTGCTATCACTACATAATGAATATTTCACAATCCAGCATTTGTACGTAAGGGGCTTGCTCAATACATAATTTTCTAACCATTTATTGCAATACAATAGAAAAGGTATTTTACTTGCCAAAGCAGCACACAATTAAGTAAAATTACTGTGATTTACACAACCACATGTTTCAAGTGGTGTGTCTTTGCACGTAAGAATATATGTAGGCCTTAATACACAAAACTTACTTAATTTTATTCTTTTGCTGGCACTCTCCTCACAATACAGTTGATGCAGCTCCTTTAAATTCATAACTAAGTAGCGCTTTTGAACTTTTTCTTCGCCAATTTTAACAAAATCTTTTCTTCCAAGAGACATTATTGATATACCTTCTCTTTCATAAAAAAGTTTTTACTTTTTCAATTTCTTCTGATGTAAAGTGAACTCACTCTGCTTCTTTAGTAGTACATAGCCCATATTCAGTTCCCAACTGCTCTACAATAGTTTGTCTTTTATTTGGAGACTTTGGAAGAGCCTGTTTTGTCCTAAAAATATTGATTGATATAAAACCCAAATTATGCAAGAGCAATAATATTAAAAAATAAATGTTAATATAATTGACTACTTATTATATTATTTGTATATGTTAACATAATTAACTACTAATGTCTTACTCATTGACGATTTGCAGTTATAAGAATTGTCAGGTGTAAAACTTAAACTGACGCTAGTATTGAAATCAATTTTTTTTTTTCATTCTTAACCTTTGGTTGCAAACCTTTGCAACCTAATGAAACTTTTTTTGTCATAGAATCGATTTTTAGTTGAACAAAACGTTTTTTATTTGATGTTTCGTCTTCTTTATTTAAAATTATGTTGTGGATTTTTTCTAAATGTCTTTTTAATCCAACAGTCAAACCACCTTTGCATAATAATACCTTTGGAAAATGTTTAATTGTGAATTTTTTAGAATCAAAATAACTCCAAACTTTAGAAGTTTTTGGATTTAAAAGCATTTTTTTTTTA